AACAAATTAGTTCAATTCCATTTTCATGCTATCACCTGTTTAAAGGGTGGGAGACAGGCATTTCATGACCATAAATAAAATGCTATTGTCCTCTTTCCGCCTGTTACTGACCTCATTGCTGGACCATTTCCTCCCCAACTCTTTTCATACACTCACTTCAAGGGCCAATCGGACCTGTTGTGCTACAGGTTGGCAACAGAGCTTTCATCTTCCAAGATAAACAGATGAAGAGGATTTAGTTGCCAGATGTAAGGCTGGACTGGGGCCTGAGGGAGAGACTGCTTAGCAAAGAACTAACAAAAACTCGCAGCCCAGAACCAGTCATCAGATATCTATGTACAGCAGGTGTGGCCTGCTCTACCCTAATCCTGGCAAAGCTAATAGCCACCTGTCCTGACAACTGCAGACAAAACTCCTTGGAATGACAATCCGGCTCCACTGGAGGCCAAGGCTTCCAAAGGCCCATTGGGAATCCTCTATACCAGCTGTCCCTCATCCTGCAACATGGGGTTCACCCTTCCCCCTCCATACCAATTAAGCAACCTCTGCCTAAGTCCACGTACATTGGTTTCCCTCTGTGCCTCTCCTTAGGCAATAAACAAAAAAGTCACTATTCTCTCTCTCTCACTTCAGATACATACTTTTCAAGTCAACTTAAAACAGTCAAGACACTGATGACACCATTTTCAGATACTTCTCTTTCCGCAGAACCTCCATTTTTGTTGAGTGGAAGGAGGAAGATCTTCCACATCCACCTGAATGGGAATCACTGCAGGAGGCCTCCGCCTCTGGGAGGCTTTGGGCTACTTGTGCACAGAAGGCTTCCTCCCTCTGGCCCCCTACAGCACTCACAGCCTAAGCTACTCATCTGCTGCTAATCTATTAGTCTCCATGTATTGTTTTGTGTGAACTGCTCTTATTTTTTATTGTATTTTCTACTCGACTTGCAAATCCCTGGGAGACAGCAAAGACTCCAGAAACTTCTATCTTGTTCCCACAGTGCCTTGCTTAAAAAAAAAGTTGTTTTCACTTGTGGAAGGGCATATGGCAATCACACTCTACGTCGAAGGGTATCGGCACAGGACAAGTTAATAAAAATCTGTTCATCTAAGCAGGAAGTATCTTTCACCATATTTGGTTGGTCAAACACAAAATTATTAGGGCTACATTCCAGACATGAAAAACAGCGGTGAGCATTAAATTTTGAAGGAAAAAAATTCTACACTAACAGGGTCAGACTAACAGTATTAAAAACAAAAAAAATAAAATAAAAGCCCATTAGCCTCCAAAATTGGTGTCAGGAATTTTGTTGGTTTATTTATTGAGCGTTACGGGTGAGTGGCATGCTAAGGGCTTTACGTCACTTTCATTTAATCTTCACAATGACCTGTGAAGTGGGTATTATTACAGAACTCCATTTCACAGATGAAGGAACTAAGGCACAGAAAGCAACATTCCAAGGCTGGTAAACAGCAGAATAAGGATTCAAACTCAGAACTGACTTCACTACAACCTTCTACTGCCTCTCTAATTAATCCAGTCAGTTCCTGATATATATTCCCAGACCATAAATTGGACAATGTTCTCTTTCCTAAAGAAAAGGCTGAAAACAAATTTTTTTTTTTTTTTAATTAAGAAAGTAGAGGAACACTTCACAAATCTGCATGTAATCCTTGCGCAGGGGCCATGCTAATCTTCTCTGTACCTCCACTTTTGGTATATGCGCTGCCGAAGCGAGCGAGCAACCAACCAACTAAAACAACCAATTTATCAACCCTTCTGCAAAGGAAACCAGATGGGAGGATTTATGAACATAATTAATTACCTTGGGTCTGCAAGACTTCATCTTTAAACCTTTAATCTGTTTCTGCGTCACCATCATCCTCCACCTGATTTCAATTTAGACTCTGATCACCTCTTCCACAGATAATTTCAATAGCCTCCTAAATTCTGTTGACTTTAACATCAGAATATATCTGGAATCTGACCACCTTCACCCCCAACAAGACTCCAAGCTTTGGCCAGGTGTGGTGGCTCATGCCTGTAAGCCTAGCATTTTGGGAGGCCAAGGCTGGAGGATTGCCCGAGTCCAGGAGTTTGAGACCAGCCTGGGCAAGATGGTGAGACCCCATCTCTATAAAAAATAAAAATTAGCTGGGTGTGGTGGTGCATGCCTGTAGTCTTAGTTACATGGGAAGCTGAGGCAGGAGAATCACTTGAATCCAGGAGGTGAAGACAGTGAGCCAAAAGCTGAAATCATGCCACTGCACGCCAGCCTCGGCGACAGAGCAAGACTCCGTCTTGAAAATATAAAATTTTAAAAAGCTCCAAGTTTCTACCCTTGGCACAACTGCAATTGAGTCTCAACACATCAGTGTGTCCTTTTTCAAAGGTTAAACTGGGTCCCATCACAACTCTGCTCAACATTACCTCCAGCCTGATCTCCCCGACTCTCCCCTTTGCTCCTTCCACTCTTAGAATACGGCCTCCCTGTTCCTGGAACAAGCATGTCACATTTATGCACCAGGGTCTTTGCAATGGCTGTTCCTTCTGCATGGAGCTCTTTTCTTCAAAATATTTGCATGGCACACTCCCTGGCCTCCTTTACATCTTTGCTTAAAGCTCACTGTCTAATTGAGGCTTTCCCTCAATACCTGGTTTAAAAGTGCACTCTATCTTCCCACCCAAGGACCTGCAATCCCTCTTGGCTTGTTCTATTTGTGTTTTTAGCCATAGCACTTATCACCTTCTAACATACTACCTCAACATATTTATTGTGTTTATTGTATTCTCTCACTAGAATGGATGCTCCCTGAGAGCAGAAATGTTTATGTTGTATTCACTCCTGTATTTCCAGCACCTGGAACACTGCCTAGCACATGGTATGTGCTCAGCAAATATTTGCTGTATTACTGTTTTAAACGTCTTACTAGCAAGAAAAACTGATAACCCCAGGTCAATGCCCTATGTTTACCCTATGGCTTTTGCATACTCCAGGGTTCTGGTTCACTCTGGGAGGCACCCGTTCACCTGCTTGAGAAACTAGGGGATGGGGAGCTATTAAGGAGGGAAGATATGGCGAGTTCTACATTTCAGTCAATCCATTCTGGTTCTGTGGGATAGATCTGGGGAGAAAAGGTTGAAATTATAAATCTACTCCAATAGTTCAGGCAAGAGATGATGAGAACTTGAGAAATAGTTACCAGAGAAGAGGACAAGATGTGATGAACGACTGGATATTGTGGGAAGGTGGGAATCTTACTGACTCCAGGTTTTTGGGTTGGGTAATTAAACAAGATAGTATCAGCAGTAATGGAGACAGAACACACAGGAGAAGCCAATATGGGAGTGGGAGCGAACCTGGGGAGATAAATCTCCTCCACTTAGGTAAACATTCACTTTAGCAATCCACTGATAAATACCTAAAGTGATTAAGACAAAAAGCTCACTCAGGGGTACAAAGCAAAAGGAATCCTACAAGAAGACCACTGTTTATGTTTCTATTCATCAGTGGCACCGAGCTGGCCTTTGGGCAGGCAGATTCCCTTCTAAGGATAAAGGCAGGAGTGTCTTCTCACGGGTTAAAATTTTCAAGGTGATTGTGCACCAGAACATATATACCCACCAAGATTCCTGCATATTTGACGACTTCCCCCATTTTGTTGAAAAAATAACTTCGGAATTAGGCAATCTTAAAAGGAACCCATGGTAAAGATCCCTGAACAAAGGTTTCCCAACAGCATAGCTAAATCCACCCTTTGCGTAACTGACATTTTTTACCCTCATAGCCTTACCTGGAAAGTTCTCTCGATTTAGCTTAGGCCTGCGGATAATCACAAAGTCTTTGTCACTCCCTTTGCTCTTCAGCCGTTTCCTTGGGGGGCTCTGCGGGATGCCCAGGTTTGAGAGCAGTTCCTGGGGGATGTTCTCACTGTCGGGCTCCTCTTTCTCCAGGGCGGAGACCCCCATGCCTGAGAGCAGTTCAGAAGTCTTGCTGGAATCCCATCCCCACGTGAAGCTAGTGGCAACGTTGCTACTCAGGTCTGGAATCTCCTGGAGGTGCTTCCTGCAGAAGTGCACAATACCCCCGGTTCCTTTCGAAAACACCCATAAATAATCCCAAGTGAGGCATTAAAGAAGCTGGAATTTATGCATTGTAGAGAACCTTCACAGTGGCTAACAGAATCGCCTTTTTTACATGCTCGCGGCGAGTTTTCAAGAAAAAAAAAAAAAGAAATTCAAAGAACAAATCGAAAAGGCTTTTTGACTTACGATCCTGCAGAAGGCCTCAAGAATTTCTCCCAGTGGAGGGAACAGACAAGGAAAGAGAGAGAGAGAGGGCAATCATACACTGATTGAAAACGGTGGCAGAAAAGCCCAATTAAGGAAGCCAAATAAAACCGCACGCTGATCCCCGCACTAAAGCATCCAACCATTCACACTTTTCCCAAGAAGGGGCTAAGCAACCATTCACTTAACAGCATTACTAACAATATTAGCCAGTAGCGATATTCGCGGCCTAAAAGAATTATTAAGAGGGTCCATTCATGCTCTTCCACTTTTTGCAATCTGTTTACCTGTGCATAGCGTCCTCAGGTTCGGGAGTTTAAAATACGTGCATTAATTGCAGAGCCTCCCGCCTCCCGGATTCCCGCTTTGGAGCGCGGCGGCTCCGAGCGTGGTGCTCGGGCCCCCAGCAGCTAGACCCGCTAAGTCTAGCAACGTTCCATCCCAGCAGCGCGCGCAAGACTCTGCAAGCCCGCTCTGCTTCGCGGGGCACTGCGGCCCTACGGCCTCCTGGGAATTGTAGTTTCCGTCCTGTTTCGTAGTCCGACTGGCTCGCCCTTACTTCCTTCCCTGGCAGTTTTGCCCGCCTTCGAGATACCCACAACCCCCCGCGGGAGCGGGACTGGCTGGTCCACGGGGTAGGCGGGGAGGCGGAAGCGGGCGGCGCTAAGACTGACTGGGAAATGTCAGCCACTTGACTGCAGACGGATATTCCTTTCCCGGGAGCCTGCAGGCCTTCTGGTGATCGCCAGCGCTGTCGTCTCTGAGTGTGGATCCCAGAACCTGGACAGCTGTGGCGGCCGCCGTTTCATGGTCCCATCCAGACGTTGTCTGGCGAGATCGGACGGTGAGCCTGAGAGGGAACGCGTGAGACGCTTTGGTGTCTGGGGACCGGGGCCGAGAGCAGGCGGCAAAAGAGGAGACCCGGGAGACCCCGAGTGGCCGCCGCCGCCCGCCGCGGGGCCCACGTCCCTGGCCGCTGAGTGGTGGCTGTAGCCCAGCTCGCCAGCCAGGTGAGAGGCTGCGAACCGCGGGCGTCACACCTGTTTGTCCCTTTGCCAGGAAGCTGCTTCCTCCTTCGGGGAGAAGGCGGCCCTTAGCATTGGGTCTGTGGACAGGATCCTTCCTTTATCTGTAAAATACGCACAATAGCTAAAAACGCAGTTGGTCTTGAACTCCTGACCTTAGGTGATCCACCCATCTCGGCCTCCCAAAGTGCTGGGATTACTGGCGTGAGCCACAGCGCCCGGCCTAAAAACGCAGTTGGAACGAAAAACAGTGGTTTAATTTTAGGGGAGCCGAAGACCCCAGCGGGTCCTGGGTGGTGGGAAGGCTGCGCATGCCCTTGCAGCCTTGACAGCTCTCATAAATAGTAGCATGGGAATAAATGAAAGGACTGTATTTTGCAACGGGCTTTACCCATGCAACGCAGGGGTCCTCCAGCAAAGACTTTTGGTTGCTCGCTGACGCTCAACGGGCTACGTGTGTTTGCGTCGCCGCCTAAAAGCGAGCTGTTTTCAGCCTATCTGCTGAGAAGATTTTGGAGGTGGTTAAAGTAGGGAGGGTGACATATTCTAGGTACAATGACCATGCGAAATCCATTGGGCAAACTATACTACAACTGTGATCCCGAGAAAACAGTGGAAGAGGGAAGGGGGATGAATTCTAAACCTCATAAAAAAGACTTATAAAGTTCCTAAGGAAGCATAACATCTTCATCGCATATTAGAATATTCGGTGATGCTGTATGACATACCCTCTGGTTTCCTTGAAAAAATGATTCTCTCTGTAGTGAAATTAAACCTCCCTTGCCCAGGTATGTGCTTGTTTCAGTCTTGGTCCTTAGCTTGAAAAGTAACTGCCTCTTGAGGGAGGAAGGAATTCATGAACCTTTAGCTTGTTCTTGAAAGGTGAGATTGGTGTAAATAACGAATCTGTTCACAACTTGATTTTGATTGGAATTAGGTGCAGAATACTAGGCTGAGCCGTTCATTAAACTAATGTTGCATGGAAAACATTTAAAAATGCAATATCCTTATTTTTTACACAAAGTAATCTTTATGTTACTTTGGCTAAGGAGAAAGCGGTTACCTTAGTTTGACTCTACATCCTTTCCCTTAAGATTGCAAATCATAGGAGAAAATATTGACACAAAAAATTATAATTTCCTTCAGGAAAGGGAACAAAACAGAACCTGTAAGCTAATGGAGGAGAAAGAATAAACAAAAATATGTAAGATGTCATAATATGCCAAAATAATGAGAATAAACAGTTTTGAGATGTAAAATAAATATAGATCTCATAAATATAGATATAGATCTCATAGATAGGAAGGTCTAATTGATGAAATGATTCTAAATTTAAAGATGAGAAATATTTTTGTTCAGTCTTGGTTTTACTAGGAAGTTTACCTGAGAACTAGAATACTTGCAACTTTTCTAGGAAGTTTACCTGAGAACTAGAATACTTGCAACATCTCAGTTAGTGAACACAAGGTCCTCTGTAGGACTTCAGGGAGAGCCTGTCAACTTTGAAAATTAGTCTAATAGTTTGCCCCAGTAACAGAAATACTTTGTCTTCCTAATATGGGAATAATTTTTTTGCATTCCTTCTAATCATGGCTATGACCTTAGTATAATTAATACAAGTTTAAATTGGTATAATCAATTCTTTTTAACTTAAGGAATTGTGTCCATTGAAGATGAGATTAGTAGGTACATAGAGGTTGCTCTCTGGTGACAAAGAACTGCGTTGTGATTGCTATTGATGCATCTTATTTTTTCTGATTAATTTCATTGGTTTCATTTTACTCAATGCACTCCATGTTCCGTTTTAATAAGAGAGATATACCATTTTTCTAGAATTGGAATTACTCAATCAGTATCCAAGACAAAAGCCATTTTTAAAATAATGCAAATGAAATTAGGATGAGTAATTACTAGTACCCTTTTGGAAGCTTCAGATAGAATACAAAGTGACTGTAAATCGGCAAATCTACAGTGACTGTTTATCATACAACATGAGATGCTTGAGAGAGGCAAAAGCAATGTCAGTTAAGCAGTCAAAACCACACCATAATTAAAAGAGGATCAATATCAGGGAACAGGAGGGGCCAAAAAGGACTGGCAACTGACTATAAGTTGTAAATATATATTCAGTAGGTATGCCATTATTGGAGATGAAATATGACAGAACAGATTTTATTTGAACAGAAGGGCTGTATATTTTTCTTTAGTTCCATCATAACAGGAAGTAAATGCTAAAATTTCTTTAGTTTTTTACTTATGTTATTTAGCTTAGGGGAGCAAATGGCTGAGAAACATTACGTATCAAGAAGTTTCTATCTGGCAATAAAATTTTAAGAGGATCTTTTTTCTTTGATTAATTTTAAAGTAGATCTTTAATTCATTGCAATTTAATGCTCTATGATAAGCAGATTGGGGCAAGAACAAAAGGGTTCTAATTTGCTCTGTGTTTTCCACTTTTCCCATGTAGAGTCGAGTCATATATTACCCTTAAATCAAGTAATGGTAGTATAATCTTAAGGTAAAAAGTTTGTGTTAAATTCTGTATTAAACACGACTTAGCATTCTGTCTTGCTATATCTAAAAGAATCATGGGATTTGTTTCTAATTTGTTCTCTGTGAAGACCGAACAAGATAAATCATTAAGGAATTTAAATTGCATTAAGAAGGTATGTCTAGATTGGAGAAGAGACGTGTAATTATAATTCAGGCTCTATGGTGACGATGCCTCTCTTTGAATCCTAGCTTTACCATTCACCAACTCTGTTAACTTGGACAAATTACTCACCCTCTCTACACTGTTTTTTTCTGTTAAGCAAGGAAACAAACAGTTCTTTCTTACTAGATTGTGATGTCTAATTTGATAAAGCATGGTAGGTACTAGTATTAATACAATGCTTAAAATTTAGTAAACACATACTAAATGTTAGATATTCATTTTTTAAAAATTATTTATTATTAGGAAACACTTTACAGATTATTCTCTATCAAGATGACTTGCAATTTCTATATATGAAATCTTTAAGAATTCAGTAAAATTTCAGTTCTTTTTTCTTATATGCTTACATGATTGCTACCTCTTCTCTTCATGCCTTGCAAAAGGTAAAGCAGTTTGTATGTATGCTTTACCTCAGGGGCTTGTCACATTTTCGAATTCAAGTTACCTGGTTGGTTTGCCAACTCAGCTCTTAGATACCTTTAAGAAATAATTATGACTTTTTTTTTCATTTTTAGAGTGGGAGTAATAGTCTTCTTGCAGTAGTCTATGTCTTAAACTGAACTCTCTCTGTACCTGAAATTTTTGAGAATAACAATTATGTTTGGAAGATTTAAATTTTGATTTTTGGTGGAAAATTGTTGACTTATTCACTTCTGGTTCTGGTTCTTTTGATTTTTCATTATGATTTTGAGTTGTCTCTTAGTTTTTATTTCGTATATCTGAGTAAAAATACAGACACATTAAGTTAGATAAAATTTCTGATAGGTACCTAATGATCATAGACTCAGATATTTAAGTTAACAGTATTTGAGTCTGATGAATCATTAGGTTCCAATCATAAATTTTTCATTTGGTTTCAGGATCTTTGGTTTTGACAAAATTTTTGTCAGTGTTTTGCTTGTATTCTGATCAATTGCTACCCATTCTCTCTCTGTCTCTCAAAACATTTGGAATTCTTCAAACTTCGAAATTATCTTAACCTCTAAAATTCCATCAAAGGGTATTTGACCTGAAAAACTATTATCAGCCTTAAAGTACTCAGGGAACAGTACTTCAAGTCAGTAACATTAACATGCTAATTATGAAACCATTATAAATGCATTTGAAAGTAATCTTAAATAATATTTTGATGATTGGAAAAAGATTGAATTGGATTTTAAATATTTAAGACTTTCAGAACTGATATTTTCAAGGGTACAATAAGCCCACACATCAGACACTAAAATCTGGTAGTTTTAATTAATTGGCATTTTGATTTCAAGTATAATCAAGTTTTGCTACTGTGGGGCTTAATCACATGGCACTGAATTTTTATTTGCCTCCTCATTTTAGTATCGTCCTTGTCGTCGTCGTCATCATCATCATCATCATCATCATCTCCCTTCTTCTTTCCTAAACCTTGCAACTCATCACTTGAATGTTGGTATAGGGCTAAAGATATGGACTTTGAAACTTTATTTTCTCATCTCAAGTTAGGAAAACCCCAATTTTTATCTCCAATTTCATGGGATCACTGGTCGTAGCTGTATGTCATAAGAAGGCAATATATTTCAGCCTCAACAGAAATAGATGGTATGGTAAACAGAATAATGTTTACCCTAAGAATGTCTGTCCCTTAATCTCTGGAACCAGTAAAAATGACTAGCTTATTCAGGTAGGCCCAGTGTAATGAGATGAGCCCTAAAAAATAGAGATTTCAGGCATGAAGAGAAGTTGACAAGCCATTGCTCTTTTGAAATATACAGGACCACACACACATACATGGAGAGACAAGTATGTTAGGACATAGTTATGTTAATTTGTTTGACTATGGTTAGTATTTCACTGTATATGTACAGTATATTAAAACATTACTGTTGTGTACTTTAAATGTATACAATTAGAAAAAGATATACAGAGCCATATGCAAAGACTGGGGAGAGGCCTCTAAAGCTAAGGTCAAATGCCAACTGTCAGCTTGCAGGGGAACAGGGAATCTCAGTCCTATAACCATAAAGAACTGAGTTTTGGCTTGGCTAGGTGGGTCACACCTGTAATCTCAGTGCTTTGGGAGGCCAAGGTTGGAGGATCACTTGAGGCCAGGTCATTTGAGTCCAGCCTGGGCAACATAGCAAGGCCCTGCCTCTACAAAAAAAAATTTTTTTTTTTTTTAAATTAGCCAGGCATGGTGGTGTGCACCTATAATCCTAGCTACTCTGGAAGCTGAAGTGGGAGGATCAGTTGAGTCCAGGAGCTCAAGGTTATGCTGAGCCATGATCATTTCACTGCACTCCAGCCTGGGCTAGTGTGAGACCCTGCCAGGAGCCTGAATAAGCTTCAGAATGGATTCTTCTTCAGAGAAAAATGCAAACCTGCTGACCTTGATTTTAAACTTGTGTTACCCTAAGCAGAGAACTAAACTGAACTATGCTTTGTTTGAATTTCTGACCTACGGAAACTGTAAGATATTAATAATAAATGGGTGTTGTTTAAAGTCACTAAGTTTGTAGCAATTTGTTACAGCTGTGGTAGGAGACCAACACTCTAAGTGTGGAAAGGGATGTAACCAAATCATTTATTACTAGAATAAAAGATCCATAATTCTATTTATTCATCCACAACCCTTTTAAGTGCTGACTATGAGTCAGACTAAAAAATTGAGTGTCATAGTAAAAAAATTAATAGCTAGTGTCAGGTTTATAACTGATTTTGTTGTTTGCTCTTTTTTTTTTTTTAAGACGGAGTCTCACTCTGTTGCCCAAGCTGGAGTGCAGTGGTGTGATCTTGGCTCACTGCAACCTCTGCCTCCCAGGTTCAAGTGATTCTCCAGCCTCAACCTCCCAAGTAGCTGGGACTACAGGTGTGTGCTACCACACCTGCCTAATTTTTTATTTTTAGTAGAGATGGGGTTTCACCATGTTGACCAGGCTGGTCTCAAACTCCTGATCTCAGGTGATCCGCCTGCCTCAACCTCCCAAAATGCTGGGATTACAGGTGTGAGCCACTGTGCCCAGCCTGTTGTTTGCTTATTATGCCCATATCTTACCACCTAAAGATTATTGATATTTTAATATATTTCATTGTTACTGTATTCTTTTTTATGCTTATGTAAAAATATGTGTTAAATTTTCAATTGCTGTTAGGGTAATTTTTAGATATTATTAAATCTTAACAAATATAATTTTTTATACTACAGTATTATGTCATCATTTGGCTCTGTCATACTTTACTTAGCATTCCTTTGGTAATCTCTAATATTTAGTCTTTTTTCCTTATGATTGTCATATTCCTTGCACTGGATAATTTCAGGTCTAGTTCACATCATAAAAGGATTTTCAGATAATAATTATATTTAAACATCTAATGGGTTTTTGTTAAAGGAAAAAAAAACCTAGATCTTGAAGATGGTTTTGTCATCAGCACATTCTGCATTGAGCTTTCAGCCAAGTGCTTAATCTATGGTTGGCTTAAAAATTTTGACTGGGTGCTGTCGCACATGCCTGTAATTGCAGCACCTTGGGAGCTGAGGCAGGTGGATCACTTGAGCTCAGGAGTTCAGTACCAGCCTGGGCAACATGATAAAACCTTGTCTATTTTTTAAAAAATAAGATTTGACTTACTCTTGTTGTGGTATAAGTTGTTCCATAGAATATGAAATTTGAGAATTTGAGTGGTATTTGGTAATGTTCACAATTTTAAGGGTTTTGAGTTGTAGTAAGTATTTGTAAAATTAGTTTACCATTACAAGAGTTTTACGTTGCCTTTGAAGTTAGCAGTAATAGAAAAATAGTGTATGTATTAAAGTAACAGTATTTTTTATTTCAACAAATATTTATTGATATTACTATATGCCAGGAACTACATTCGACTAGAATATAGTGTGGAATAAAATAGTCAAGTCTGTGCTCTCATAGAGTCTCTGGTGTAAGGGGAGAGGTTCAGAGAGACAATTAATAAATATAAAGAATATGTATCATATTAGATGGATAAGTGCATTGAAGAAAAATATAGCAGGATAAGAGGGTAGAGAGTGATGAAAGAGGTTCAATTTTAGACATATAAGAAAAATGAAAGTATTGATAGTTGAAATGGAAACTTCAACGATGTAAAGAAATACTGAAGAAAATTGTTTATTAAATGTGATTTTTGTTTGTGATATTTCATGTAGGAGTATTTTGTATATAAATTTAAATTTAATCCTTTAAAGTACTCAAACTTTCTTTTTTATTACTCTAACTAGTTTTAGAGATGTTTGTTGATTTTAAGTATTTTATTGATTCTCCCTTATTTTATTTTTTGTTTATTTATTTTTTGAGATGGAGTTTTGCTCTCGTTGCCCAGGCTTGAGTGCAATGGTGTGATCTCGGCTCACTGCAGCCTCCACCTCCCAGGATCAAGTGAGTCTCCTACCTCAGCCTCCCAAGTAGCTGGGATTACAGACGACCGCTACCATGCCTGGCTAATTTTTGTATTTTTAGTAGAGACAAGGTTTCACCAGGTTGGCCTGGCTGATCTTGAACTCCTGACCTCAGGTGATCCGCCTGCCTGGGCCTCACAAAGTGCTGGAATTACAGGTGTGAGCCACCGTGCCCAGCCCCTTATTTTATTTTGTTGCGTTGTATCACAATCTTGATTCTCTATGTTAGGATAGTAATCAATTCCTTGGAATATTGTAGTATGTAGATAAACAAAAGTCTAACAAAGGTGAAAAGTTTGTATTGCCTTCAATTAGTAAATTTTTTTAAGTATAGAGAGATATCAATTTTTTTTTTACACAGAGCTTTGCCCAGGCTGGAGTGCAGTGACATGATTTTGGCTCACCCCAACCTCCGCCTCCTGGGGTTCAAATGATCCTCCTGCCTCAGGCTTCCGAGCAGCTGGGATGCACCACTAGGCTTGGCTAATTTTGTTTTTTTTAAGTAAAGATGGGGTTTCTCTATGTTGGTCTCCCGGTCTTAGGTGATCTACCTGCCTCAGCCTCCCAGATTGCTGGGATTGCAGGTCTGAGCCACTTTGCCTGGCCTCAGATTTTTTAATTTTAAAATAGAGACTTTATGCTCTAATTTTTTTGAGTAGAGAGATATTAGATAAACTATTTGCTTATGACTGTATCATAAAATTAAGAATGTTTTCAAATTTATGACTTTATTCAATAGTCATTGATAAATTTTCTGCATATAAAATAGTAAAAAATTAAAAATGAGAATTTGTTAAAGTTTAAAGATTCATGTAGATAAATAGGAAGTAATAAATATATTTTGTGAAGCAGTGAGTAATAATTTTGAGTCATGAAAGTTGTTAGGCAAAATTAGCACTAAAGAAAAATACTGTTTCAAAGGAAAGGTTGCTTTTAAATGGTGTATTTCCATTTTTTCCTCCCTCTCTTTTAGACAATCTTATAGAGGATGAATAATCTTAGAAAAATGTATTTTACTAAGTATCTAATTTTCTAGGATTTAGTCAATGGCTTATTTGTATAAGCTATTCTGTTAGAACTTATAGCATTAAGAAACAAACTCCAAATGACACTGTATTAAAACTGTTGACATCTAAATTAAGAACTTCTGAATTTGTAATATTGTAAGAACTAGTATAATTTTTGTTAAGTTTTTGAAAATACAAGGCATATGAAAATTTTTAAGTGTGCTTTAAAAAATAAAATATAAGGGCTGGCGGATAGGAATTACTCTTTCAATCTTATTCATAGTCCAATATGAAGCATGACATTTCTCCAAAGAGTTTATTAATGTATTAATATTTAGGAAATTTCCAAGTGTCATTTCCTATGTTAATGCTGCATTTTAATTTTCTTTTCACTTCACAGATATGGTCCAGACCTGTACATGAATAACTTTGATTAGTCAGAGTGAAATATTTAATAATGAGTGGTGCAGCTTTGGGACTTGAAATTGTTTTTGTCTTTTTTCTGGCATTATTTCTACTTCATCGATATGGAGACTTTAAGAAACAGCATAGACTTGTAATTATTGGAACACTGCTTGCTTGGTATCTCTGCTTTCTTATTGTCTTCATACTGCCTCTGGATGTTAGTACGGTAAGGAGTGAAACTTATTTTCACAGTTTAAAAGACAATTGTAATCATACAGCATGTTGGAAATAATGTTATTTCTTAAGACAGTTAAGTTATGTCAATTTGTACTTATATTTTGAATTAAAAGATTATGTCGGCATTTGATCATTAAAAAGCATAGCCGGGAAGGTAAGTTTAAATAGATAGAATTATAAACTCTGATATCCTTTAAGTACTTGGTAACCTTTTGATTCTGATTTTTAAACCATACGTTCATTGCTTTAGACAATATACAACCGGTGCAAGCATGCTGCTGCAAATTCAAGCCCTCCTGAGAATAGCAACATTACAGGATTGTTCGCAACTGCTAACCCTGTTCCAAGGTATTTCCTTTTTAAAAAAAAATATATGAAAATTATAGGGGACAAATTCTTTAAAAATGGAAAGTTTTTACCATCCAGATTTTATATTTTTGTAAGTATTCTCATTTCTACTGATTCCCGCCACCTCTGTTCTTTGCTAGTAGACTTTTTATTACATCGTATTCTAATTAAATCTAATTTTTAATATTTTTTGGTCCACAAGGCCCTTCAGTAGATGGTACTGAGAAACTTGAAGAAGACCTGATTTTTTAGGTCTGGTTCTTCTTTACTGAGTGTGTAATTTCTAAAACCTATTTTTCCTCTCAGCCTATCTCTAATTTAAAAATGTGGCATGCATTTTCACTTTTGCATAATTTACAAGGTCATAATAAAGGACAAGTATTTCTGTACTTATGGTATTCCTTTCATATTGCACATCCTTCAAAAACATTATAGGTTTACATAAAAAATGAATCAAGTTCAAATTGTCCAAAGATTATACTGAATTCTCATCAAACTTTTAAGTAAAAAGCATATATATGTTGCCTGTAGCCTTTAAGAATGCTTTCAGTAGTATTTGCATGTTTCTTTATGCATATTTTTTAAAAAATATAACTTGAGAAAAGGTAAATTTAAAATACAGGTGTTACTTTCATTTGAAGCATTATTTAAAAAAATGGATAAAGATCAGCAGCAACTACAGATTGTTGGATGTTCTTGGGATAGCCTTATAGCTTAGGAATATGGCTACATGAATGAATTTATGATCGAGACTCATCATGTCTTCAGAAAGTTAAACAGAATTATGTATGGATGGTAGCATGCATCCCCATAGAAGCTATGGTATAGTGAGTGATTTAATTAGCATTCTAATTTTCAGGAATTAATCGCCTATTGTTTTCCCCTCCCAACCCCTGTGCCCTGCAAGGCGTTGGCGGGGGCGGTTTGTGTGTGGGGGGGAACCTAACCTCATAAATAGGGTGAGTGTGTATTTTAAAGGTAATCATCAGAAATGTTATTTTATAATACATTTGTTTTTAATGATTGTTGCACTTTTAATCTATTAGTTGAACATTAAGTTTTCTTTTTACCCAATGACTAAAAATACACTGAAAGTTGAAAACTTAAATGATATATTCAGAACAAAATATTTTGTTGACTTAGTGGGTTTTTTTTTTTAGTTTGACAGTAAGCTTTGAATTTTAAAATTTATTTGGAATTTTATGGGTTATTGATTATTAGAGTCAGTAATTTAAAATCTGAATGTAAATTAACTTGGCCACATGCAAATTAATTGTGTAATTCATTTAAGTAGTCATTGTTTATGATTAATTGGCTTTACATTTTTAATTTGACAGCCAGCATCCATGTTTCAAGCCATGGAGTTACATTCCTGATGGAATCATGCCAATTTTCTGGAGGGTAGTGTATTGGACATCACAGTTTTTAACTTGGTAAGTTACAGTAAAGGATAAAATTTTTAAAATTTTGGCTAATGGAATAAAACATTATTTTTCAGTGAATCTTTAACTTTTGGAATTTGTTTAATTTTTTCCTTAAATCTCTATTTTCTCCCTTTCTGCTCTCTCAAGTTTGACCCATCTTACAGGAAAAAGAAAAAGAAAAAAAACCACACAAATAGAAAATAGAAAACAGCAACAAAGGTTTTTTTGTTACTATTTCCTTCCCGTTATTGCCTTCTCTTTTGCCCTTCAGTCCAATCTTCAGCCCCATTATTATGTGAAATTTCCCTTGCTAAGGTCATTTTACTCTGGTTTTCTTTCTGTCGGCTTTCCCCAACCTTCTGAATTTCCTTTATGGATGCCATTTCTGTTGCCCATTTTCTAAATGTTGATCTTCTCTAGAGTCCTATCTTGGTCATCTTGTCAGACTCTCCCTGCATAGCTGTAATTATAGCCATGGTTTCATCAACCAATAATGGATTCTGAATCTACCAATTACAGCTTTATCTTTCTGCTATTCTCCAATCTCATACTTATCCACTGCCTACTAAGCATCTCTTAGATCTGCAAACAACTGCACTCTAAAACTGGAGGTACTGAACATTGCAAGAGAAAAATCACATAGTAGAGTAGTGCTCTTGTATATTCATGTCTATTAAATTCAACTGGGCCCTCAACATTGCCAGACTTTCCTACTTTGTTTTTTTAGTTTGCTTTCTCTCCATTTTCTACAAGAAATATTTCTAGTCACTTCAAACTTCTGTCCTCTTTGTGGCTTTCTCTCTTGTACTCCCTAACAGCAACGACAAGAACAACAACATAATCATCTTTACTTTTAGCAGATGACTACTTCCATCCAGCAGTGAAAACAGGAGTCATCAGATGGCAGCTCTTTCAACTTCTCACCAACAAATCTACATACCTACTCATCTTTTTTTCTTTCCCCTCCAAAGATGGAAGAGTCATGCTTGTTAAAGACAGTCCTTCTGTCAAAGGATTCTTAGGGGTGTTTTGCCAGCCGGAAACCTCTGTAGCCAGTAGTGCCTTTGCCTGAGTTTTAAGTAGGCTTGCTGGGCTCATTCCGCCCACTCACCCTGGCAGATTGCACTCAGCTCCTGCTTCTAGCTCTGATCCCACACCTACCAAGGGCGAGCCAGGCGTGGAGTGGCAAGGGATGTGTGTGAGCGAGTAAGCATGGGTTCCGGCCACTGAGCACAGCCAGGCACGCTGGCTGCTGTGGCAGGGTGGGCAGCTCCAGGCACCAGCACAGGCGCCAGCTCTGCAAGCCTGCAGCTGGGTCAGATGCACTGCAAGCAGCTTCTGCTGTGGGCACCCACATCAGGATGAGGAGAATGTGGTAGTATCCAGAAGCTTGGAGATGCCAGAAACCTCAGAGCCCCAAAGAGGGTGTCACAGCCCTGGCTTGGGGAGCCCCTAGGTCTGGGCTCCCAGAAGGGCCACAGCTCTTCTCTTCTCTCCTGCAACATGGCGAGTGGCAGGGGCGTGTTTCAGCCCTGTTTGTGTTATAGCTCTTTCAGTTCCACCATTCGGCGGGTCCTGAGTTCTTGTCCTGCATCCAGGAAGAATGAAGTATGCGGACAACTGGAGGGTGAGCAAGGTGAAAAGGTGCTTTTTTCAATGATAGTACTGCTTTCAGGAGACCCAAAGTGGGTAGCTCCTTTCTGTGGGCAGGTTGTCCTGACAATTGCAGCTCTCAGTGGAGAGGAGATTTATAGTGGGTAGCGCTCCTACTTGCAGGCTGGTTATCCCATTGTCTGTGCAGCCATCAGCAGAGAGGAGACTGGAGTAGATAGCTCTTATCTGAGACAGGTTGCCCCTTCATCTGCCTGAATCCAGCTTGGCTGGGGTTTTTATGGGCTTCAAAGTGGAGGAAGTGTGTGCTGATTGGGTCATGGGTGGGCCTGGAAAAAGCATCCTAAGTTCTCACTCTGGTCCACAGAACTGGTGGCCTGGCCCCCAGGCTTCAGCCTGTCCGTGGCTTGAAGGTGGGGCTTCACCTGAGACCTGCCCCCTTTTGCCCAGGAGCCTGTCTGCCTCCTGCCACCATCAATCATATCGTTCATGGCACCCAGGCTGTTCATACCAAATGGTTCCTGCAGGCCCACGCTGAGCTGCCCTCAGCCCCACTCTCAGCCTCCCTCCCATGCTTGTTGATGTCCAAATACCAGAGGGGCTGAGGCAGCAGGGGGCTGGTGTGTCAGTGCTCTCCTGAGTATGTGTGCACACCCAGCTGGGTTGCAACAGTGCCTAGATTCAGTCACAACTTTTTTCCAAAATCAGAGGATCTGTTAGGTGCAGAGAGAGGCCAGGCAGCAGGAGCAGGTACTTCCAAACCTGTGAGGGGCTTCCTGGGTCCCTGAGAGTGCAGGATGCCTGGGTCCGCAGCCACAGCTGGGCAGCTGCAGCTGTGCTCGAGAGGGCAGGGCTCCTGCCCCACCAACTCGGAAGTGGGTGGGGCTCCCACCTCTTTCCAGCTCCTGCCAACTCCATGGATCGCACAGCCCCCACCAGGCCTCCTCCGTTGCAGCCAGTATCTTTGCAGGGGCCGCTCCAGACAGGCTGCTGCTGCCATCACTTCTTCCTAAAATATGGATCCATCCCCTTCAGCTCTTTTTACATACTTGTAGCTTTCAAGTTCAACAATGCATGCACATTCATCCTTTGAAAGGAAAACAGGAACAAAAATAAGTCTCTTAATTCAGATCCCTTTCCAGCTCTGCCTTTTTGATCTGATCACAACTAAATTTTTTTAGAAACATTCTAAAATTGAAGCATAAATTCATACCAAAAAAATGCATGGATTGTGTTTAGTTTGACTTTTTTTTTTTTTTTGAGACAGAGTTTCGCTCTTGTTACCCACGCTGGAGTGCAATGGCGCGATCTCGGCTCACCGCACCCTCCGCCTCCTGGGTTCAGGCGATTCTCCTGCCTCAGCCTTCTGAGTAGCTGGGATTACAGGCACGCGTTTTGTATTTTTAGTAGAGACGGGGTTTCACCATGTTGACCAGGATGGTCTCGATCTCTTGACCTCGTGATCCACCCGCCTCGGCCTCCCAAAGTGCTGGGATTACAGGCTTGAGCCACCGCGCCTGGCCAGTTTGACTTTTTACAAAGTGAATACACTCATACACCGGCACTCAGATGATGATATAGAACATTAGCAATGCCCCAGAAGCCTTGCTCACACTTTCCTGTGTAGTCATCCCACACTCCCCAAAAGTAACGATGATTCTGACTTCCATCACCATAGATTAGTTTTTACCTGTTTATGAACTTTGTAACCATGATTCTGACTTCCATCACCGTAGATTAGTTTTTACCTGTTTATGAACTTGATAAGCATAGAATTATACACTGTGGACTTTTTTGCATCTCTCTTTGCTCACATATTTGGGAGACTCATCTATGTTGTGCTGTATGTATCATTATTCTGTTCTTTTCCATTTCTGTAAAATACCCCATTACATGTATATACCATAGTTTATCCTAACTTCTTAAATGGATTCTCTATATTTGATATCTCCACTTACTCATTGTTTACTTATTCCTCAACCCACAGTACTCTGCTTTCTATTCTCACTCCGCCACTCATACATACAGGCTCTTAATTTACTTCACCTCTTGGCAGCATTTGATTCTATTGTTCTCTGTCTCTCTCCACTTTCACTTTCCTCTCCTAGTTCCTAATCCACATGCTCTGATTTTCTTCCTTGCCCCACTACTATTCTGTCTTGTTTTCTTTTGCTGGTCCATCCTCCTTCTGTTGCTCTACCTCTATCTTAAAAGTTGGTATTTTTCAGAGATCTGTCTCAGTTCTTTCCTTCACATTCTCCATACTTATGCTTCCAGATGAGTATCTATTGATGTTATTTCAGTGCTGTTGATACAGTGATGACTCTAGAAGCTATCCATATTTTTAGTTCTCTCTCCTGAACTCTGAAGCTGGTAGCAAACTACTTTGTGTGCAGCTTCTCTTGGATGTCTCCTAGGGACTACTTCAAAGTCAGTATGCTGTCAACCAATCTTCTCCCTTTTCGGTTTGTACCACCATCACCACCCTTCCCCCTCTCAACTAATTCCAGCTTTGCTTTCCTTTTATCCATTCTCCATGCTGAAGCCTTAGAAAACTAAAATTTGATTCAAAATGTTTTCTTTGAATGCAGTCCAGACTCTTCATAAAGGCTTTAAAGGCCCATTTTAGACTCATCTTCAGTCATTCACACTTGCTGGTCATTGTAGCCTCCTTTGATTCCAGGAATGTGCCTTGCTTTCTCCTGCCTTAGAGCCTTTGCTTTCCCTAAAATTTTATATTACAAAAATACTTAATCATCTATTATAGTTTATTAAGTATTAATGATTAGTCATAAACATATTTATTAATGAAAAGAACTATACATTAAAATTGAGATTCACATATTTCTGGTGTTTTGAGATTAAACAGACATATCAATTGTTTTGATTTTTAATCATATTTTTTTCTATCCATCTAGGATTCTCTTACCTTTTATGCAGTCGTATGCAAGATCAGGAGGGTTTTCCATCACTGGAAAGATCAAAACTGCACTAATTGAGAATGCAATCTACTATGGCACCTATTTGCTGATTTTTGGAGCATTTTTAATTTATGTAGCTGTAAACCCACATTTACATTTAGAATGGTAAGAAAAGTAGTCTTCTTAACATTGCTTTTGTGTATGTTTGCATTTCTAAAAATTCATTTTTAACTTCATATGTGCAGATTTAAACAGACATTTCATTGAAAAACATTTTGTTATATAATTTTATTCAAAAGAATATGTGAATAATCTATATTACTAAGTGAGAAAATATGGAATGACATTTTTAAATGCAGATTTTAGACAAAAGATTAATGGTTAGTCTAATAGCTATATATTAAAAGTGATAACTCTTATGATTTTTTAATAGAATTTCAATTTTTTTTTTCCTGAGACAGAGTTTCACTCTTGCTGTCCAGGCTGGAGTCCAATGGTGCAATCTCAGCTCATTGCAACCTCCGCCTTCCAAGTTCAAGCAATTCTCCTGTTTCAGCCTCTCAAGTAGTTAGGATTATAGGCATGTGCCACCATGCCTGGCTAACTTTTGTATTTTTAGTAGAGATGGGTTTTCTCCATGTTGGTCAGGCTGGTCTTGAACTCCCGACCCCGGGTGATCTGCCCACCTCAGCCTCCCAAAATGCTGGGATTACAGGGGTGAGCCACCGCACCTGGCCTTCAAAATTTTTATATGATAAAATAACTGGTTTTATTTTTTATTGGAACTTGTGGGGTTTTTTCCCCCCTTGTTTTGGTTATAATTTGAGGGCATATTTGTTCTTTGTTCTTACTGTTATCTTAGATTTAGATATTTCAATAAAATTGAAATCTGTTTTATACTTATGACTTGTAATATATGTGAAGGTCTACCTCTGAAAATTTAGGAATAGATTAGCAGTGCTAGGTCTCACTATTGCATTCATGAGATTTGCTAGGTAAGCAACAAACTTAATTTGAAACCTTTTGAGGCTTCTTAAGGAAGCACCTAATGAAAAATGTTTCCTTTGGGAAAATATATACATATTATCGCTATGAATTATTCTAGATGCTAATTTTAACTGCAGTGGAAGCAGTGGGTCTCTTTTGTAAGAGTTGGTTTATGCAGTCACATTTTATCTTTCCATTAAAATATGCATATTATATGCTGTTTCTCTTTCTTAGGAACCAGCTTCAGACAATTGGGATAGCTGCTGCAAATACATGGGGTCTGTTTCTTCTTGTGCTGCTGTTGGGGTATGGCTTGGTGGAAATTCCTCGGTCGTACTGGAATGGAGCAAAAAGGGGTTATCTACTTATGAAAACATATTTTAAGGCAGCCAAACTGATGACAGAGAAAGCAGATGCAGAAGAGAATTTAGAAGATGCCATGGAGGTAAACAAGTTTGAACCTTATAAACAATAGTCACCAAGTCATGTGAATCTTCTTTTAGTCACTTTTGGTTTGTTGTTGTTAGCGCATTGATGTGCTTCAGACTGCAAAACTGCTATTGTGCGATTCTTCAGGATGTCTCATCCAGGATGACTTTTTAGCCATTCAGCCTCATGATGTGTCTTGTCCATCTTCTATCTGACAAGGATTCATGGAAAAAAATTCAATAGTTCAGGGTTATGCCTATTATTTTGAGGTAACTTTTAATGGTACCCTCTTTTATTTTCAAAAGTCTCCCAGATTAAATGATAAATTCTATAGTTACCCTAACATAGTAGAAGTGAGAATAATGACCAGAGGACGCTTATTTCTAAAAGTTTAACCTAAGGTACTCCTACTAAGTCTGGAAACCTCTTTAAAGAACAATTCACATGGGAGTTTATCTACTAAGTTTTGTTTCCTATCTGTAATCTTAATCAGACACTTCATTTTACTTGATGACTTGAACCAGTTTCACAAAGTTGTTGTGAGTTTATCTTTCAATACTGTACATAAAAATATACAACAAATTCCCAGCACTTTGGGAGGCTGAGGCGGGTGGATCATGAGGTCAAGAGATCGAGACCATCCTGGTCAACATGGTGAAACCCCGTCTCTACTAAAAATACAAAAAATTAGCTGGGCATGTTGGCGCGTGCCTGTAATCCTAGCTACTCAGGAGGCCGAGGCGGGAGAATTGCCTGAACCTAGGAGGCGGAGGTTGCGGTGAACCGAGATCGTGCCATTGCACTCCAGCCTGGGTAACGGGAGCGAAACTCCGTCTCAAAAAAAAAAAACAACAACAAATTATAAAATTTTTCTGTAAGTAAAAATTTTGTTATGGATTTAAAGAGATTATTACAGTCACCTTACATTTTTGCTCCCCTGGGAGAATATCCTACTCAGCTGATGTTACTCTCCAAACAAACTCCTGTTGAATGCTTTTCATTCATGTTAGAATAAACTCCAAAATGTTTTAATGCAGCCTGCAGAAAAATAATTTGGCCTATATTTAGCTCTCCAGCTATATCCCACACCTCTGCCTTCCTCACACTGGTCATCTTTGGTTTCTCAAACTTGCTAATGGTGATGAGATAATAAACAATTTTATAGACTTAATATTTGCCTAACACTCAACTTTGGTTCTTCACGCTTAGTAATGGTGATACTTATAGTAAATAATTATATAGAATTACTAGTTGACTAAGACTTTCTAAGCACTATACATATATTTAATTCTCATGACTTTATGATAGAGATTTTTTTAAATCCCCATTCCATAAGTGAAGAATATGAGGCACAGAGAGATTAAGTAACTTCCCCATGTCTACATGGCTAAGAAGTGATAGAAGCCAGGCAATCTTTGCTTTAACAGGGACTGACAAACTTTTTCTATAAAGGGCCAGATAGTAAATATTTTAGGATTTGTGTGCAATATCATTTCTATTGCAACTACTCTGTCATTGCAGCATGAAAGCAGCCATAGCCAGTAACTAAATGAATGAGTGTGGGTGTGTTTCAGTATGAGAACAAATACTGGACTGAATTGATCTGGCTTGATGACCCTATGCTTAATCATTACACACATTGCCTTTCTTTTCTATCTTTGAGCATGCTATTACCAAACCATTAGAATGTTCTTTTCAGCACTTCCTTCAGCTAATTCCTATTTCATTTTTAGGTCTTAACATAAATGAGAATTCTTCAGGGAAGTTTTCTTTATTAGCTTCCTAGGGCTGCTATAACAAAACTACCACAAACTGGGTGACTTAATCAATAGAAAATTATTGGCTCACAGTTTGGAGACTAAAAGTTCAAGATTAAGGTGCCTGCAGGGTTGGTTCCTTCTGAGGGCTCAGGGAAAATCTGCTCCATGTTTGTCTTCTAGCTTCTGGTGGTTTGTGATCTTTGGCTTTCCTTGACTTTTAGACCTCTGCCTTCGCCTTCACTTGGTGTTCCCTCTGTGTGCCTGTGTCCAAACTTTATTGTTTTGTAAGGACACCAGTCATATTGGATTAGAATTCATCCCACTTTAGTATAAGCTCATCATATCTTAGCTAATTAAATCTGCAACAGCCCTATTCCAAATAGGATCCCATGTTAAGATACTGGAGGTTAGGTTTCAGGGGCACAGCTGAACCCATAACATCTTCCCTGGTCCTCCAGACTCTTAAACACTCAGCAACCATTTTTGAAGTGAATGAATAAATGAACAAATGAATGTATAGTGTGATTAGAAAATTTCATTTGGGCTTTGCAGCATTTATTCACTACAAAATGTAAGAACTACAGCAGAAAATATTGATTCAAATGTAGGAGTAAGTCTATGAATAGTATTATTTAAATTTATTATATTTCCTGTTATATTCAACATTCCTATGATGAATGTTATTACATCTTTTGAAAGAAGATAATTTATATTTGATAAATTTTATAATTATATTTGAAATTTTGAATTTTTTAAAAAATTGAAGTAGTTGAAAACTGATATTTTGATAAGATACTTATACTTGATAAAAGAAATTAATATATTTTAAATTTGATAGTGTTCCATCCAGAAGTTGGTATTAAATTAAGTTGTTTCAGATTAGAGGAATTTGGATTTCACTAATTTATTAAACATTCCTGCAAAAAAAATAAACCCGGTTATTATTTGAGCTCTGGATTTTCCCTAGGAGGAAGCTTTGCTCTCTGAATAAAATAGATTTTATTCTTGTTATTTTTAAATAGGACCCCTCTACTTAGAAATAAGATGTGGAAAATTAAGGGCCAGGATTGATTACTTCTGCTCTATTTTAGTATAGTATTCCTATGTTTTAAACTGTGTAAAAAATATTAGATAAGAAACCACTCTTTAAAAATGGATGTTTTGTAAATAGCAGTTGGAACACATATATAGCAGGAAAACTCTGAACCTCTTTCCATCAAAAACGGTGCATGATTTCTCAGGTATGAATTTCTTTTTTGTTTGTTTGCATTCCTGGGGTTTTTTAAATTTTTTGTATGTATCCATCACCTCAAACATTTATTTTTCTTGACGTTACAAATAATCCAGTTATACTCATTTAGCTATTTTTAAATGTACAATTACATTGTTATTGACTGTAGTCACTCTGTTCTATCAAATACTGATATTATTCACTCTAACTATAATTTTGTACCCATTAACCATTCCCATTTCCCACCCTCCCCCTACCCACATCCCTTCCCAGCCCTATAAATAAGTAGGAGCATGTGAAGTTTGGTTTTGTGCCTGGCTTATTTCACTTAACATAATGACCTCTAGCTCTACCCACATTACTGCAAATGACTGGATCTCATTCTTTTTTATGACCTTAGGGAGTTTGATTTTAAAATGCCTTGAGATAGTCTTATATGGGATAACTCTGCTTGGTGTTCTAGAACCTTCTTGTACTTGAATATTGATATCTTTCTCTGGGTTTGGGAAGCTCTCTGTTATTAGCACTTTGAATAAACTTTCTACCCTTATCTCTTGCTCTGTCTCTTCATTAAGGCCAATAACTCTTGGATTTGCCCTTTTGAGGCTATCTTCTAGCATTTGTAGACATTCGTTATTCTTTTTTTTTAATTACTTTTTGTCATCTCTAACTGTTTTTTTAAATAGCCAAATTTTCAAGTGTCTTCTAGCTCACTAATTCTTTCTTCTGCTTGGTCAGTTCTGCTGTTAAGAGACTCATGCATTCTTCAATATGTCAGTCTGTTTTTCAACTCTAGAATTTCTACTTGATTATTTTTAATTCCTTCAACAGCTTTGTTCACTGTATCTAATAGGATTCTAAATTCCTTCTCTGTGTTACCTTCAATTTTGTTGAGTTTCCTCAAAACAGCTATTTTGAATTATCTATCTGAAAGGGCGTATATCTCTGTGTCTTCAGTATTGGTCCCTGGTGCCTTGTTATTTATTTTATTTAATTTTTTTGAGGTAGGGTCTCACTATATTGCCCAGGCTGGAGTGCAGGGGCATGTTCTTGGCTCACTGCAGCTTCTACCTCCAGGGCTCAAGTTATCCTCTCACCTCAGCCTCCCAAGTAGCTGGTAGCTGCTACTATAGGCACACACCACCACACTCAGCTAGTTTTTGTATTTTTGAAGAGATGAGGTTTCACCATGTTGCCCAGGCTGTTCTCAACTCCTGAGCTCAAGTGACCTCCAGCGTCAGCCTCCCATTGTGCTGGGATTACAGGAGTGAGCAACTGTGCTCGGCCCTGGTGCCTTATTTAGTGTGTTTGTTGAGGTCATGTTTTTCTGGATGGTCTTGATTCTTGTGGATGTTCATCGGTGTCTGAACATTGAAGTTAGTCTTTGCAATATGGGCTTATTTGTAGCCATCCTTCTTGGGAAGCCTTTCCAGGTATTTGAAGGGACTTGGGTATTATAATCTGAGTTTTTGGTCACTGCAACTGTCTCTATATTAGGGGACACCCTAAGCCCCTTAATGCTGTGGTTCTTATAGACTTTTAGGAATGTGCCATCTTCATGGTCTTGGATAAGATCTGGAAGAATTCTCTGGAGTACCAGACAGAGACTCTTGCTCTCTATTACTTTCTCCTGAATAACTAGAGTCTCTCTCTCTCTGCCCCAAGCTGCCTGGAGGTAGGGCAGGAGTGTCATAAGCACCTCTGTGGCCACCACCACTGGGACTGTACTGGGTTAGACCTGAAGTTATCATGGCCCTGGGTCTTGTCCAAGGCCCACGATAACCACTTCCTGGCTACTGCCTATGTTTGCTCAAGACCCTGGTTCTCTACAGTTAGCAGGTGGTGAAGCCAACCCAGCTTATGTTCTTCCCTTCGGAGTGGCAAGTTCTCCCTGAGTTGGGGTGTGTCCACAGAGATGCTGTCTGGAAGCTAGGGCCTAAAGCTAGAAACTATAGGAATTTACTTGTGGCTAAACTGGCACCCAAGCCACAAGACAAAGTCCTTCCCATACTTTCCTCCCCTTACAGAAGCAGAGGAGTCTCCACCCATGGCCACTACTGCCCCAGGGCCACGGTGAATACATCCTCACTACCCCCAGTGTTCATTCAACGCCTGACATCTCTTCAGTCAGCTTGTGGTGAATGCTGCAATGCCCAGGGTTTTTCCTTCAGGGCACTAGGCTCCCCTCTACCCAGAGAAGGTTCAACAATGCTGTCTAAGAGCTATAGCCTGCAATCTGGGACCCCAAAAGCCCACCTGGTGCTATACCCAACAGTGGCTGAGGTTGTACCTTGTGTTTTTGTTTTTTATGAAGGTAATTTTTGTGTGGATAGTTGCTTAATTTAGTGTTCCTGTAGGGAGGACAATCGGTAGACACTTCTTGCTCCACTTCCTGTGTATGAATTTCTTTGACCACATACTTCAAGGTTTTTTTGGGGATTCTTTCTGCCTTTCTGAACATCTGGAAACTTATAAACTTGATGATAAATATATTTATCATTTAAAAAGTACTTTTTGTCTTCCTTCCATGTTAAGTGCTATGCAGAACTGGTCAGAAGAGAAATTTCTGTTCTAACTTTTAGAGTAGAAAATTGGACAGAGCCCCTTATAGTATGTAGTCAATGTGGCATGAATGATAAAAAGAAAATGCTCTAGTATGGAGAGGTATCGCTTCTGAATAGTGGTCAGAAGACATGAAGTATGACCTGGGCCTTGAAAGATGGGTAGAATTTTGATAGCTGATGTCATTCCAGGCAGATATCAGAAGTCTTAAAACCAAATCAATTTGAGCATAAAGTTTACATTGGAAAGATAAAGCTATATCATGGCTTTAAATGCCATACTGAAAAGTCCAGTCATTTGACAGATAACAAAGTTCAATCACTTCATTGTTAATTATTTTTTCAGTTATCCATTTAATCTCCCAAATGAAGTTTTATAAAAACTGTTTGGTATTTTTATGATATATTTATTTCTAAAATTGATAGATGCATTTGTATGTCTATTACCTTTCTTTGAAGCATTAATAAAACTTATAAGCTACATTAAATCATTAAAAGTTATTTGCTAGAAGACCTAAAAGGTCACCTCTACCTTTTGTTATTTTCTAGATAATTTTAGGGAGGGAGAAACAGCTACTTATTTCCACTGAAAGCTGCCTATTAGCCTCCCTTCATGAATGTTGTCTGACCTGCTTAGAAAAGAATTTGACAAGGCACAATAATGAAAGAGCTCAGTTATCTTATTTTGTATGAAGAAAGCAAGTAGTATATTTCAAATACCTGCCATGCTTAATTTAAATTATGAACTTTTGAAGGAATCCTAAATTTATAACAGATATAGCAAATGTTAATTGTTTCAGTACTTGCTTTTTAATAAGCTAAATAATCTAAAGAATAAAAGCATAGTTCACATCATATATAAACAAATTGTATAGTTCATTTTCCAAGTGTGATAAATTTGTGCTAACAAGTCAAAAAACTTTAAGGCAGCTTAGTAATGGAAAATAGATGTAATGATGCTTCCATGTGACCTTTTAAAAACCCCAGTCTTATCTTGTCACTGTCATATGTAGGCCTCACACATTAACCTCAAAATAAACCACGATTAAGGCCTTCTAGGAGCACTTTGATCTTGCTCTTTCAGCCTGATCCAGTGCTATGCAGACCCTTGATCTTCCTTTCCATGTAATCACACTGGACTTTTTTCAGTCTCTTCAAGTAATGTGCTCACTTAGGCCTGGAGGCCTTTTTATGTGCTGTCTCTGTCTCTCTGCCTGAAATATTCTTGTCTCTCCCTTTGGTTGACTGAGTCCAGTACATTTTGTTTAATCTCATTTTAAATAATCAATTAATTAGAATATCTCCCAGTCTACATTATCCCTTGTCAAAGCATCTCATACTTTTCTCTGATAATAGTTTTCTATGTTTGCTTTCTTCATTAAGTTAAATTCCTGTACAAGAATAGTGTCTACTGGTGCAGATTATTTATAGAGTATACATATTCTAAATTTTAATAGATGTTGTGAAATTAAATAGAATATATTACTTTTTACTGTGTATAAGAGGGCGTGTTTTCTCACCTCTTTATATGGTATCAATTTTGAAAAAAAAACTTATTTTAAAAATTTGTAACTGTTTTTAGTGAGCTCAAATATCTTTTTAGACATTTATTGGCCAATTGTATTTTTTTAATGCTCCCATTTTCTGTTGATTTGTAAGAGTTCATCACATATTAAGGATAATAAGTCTTTGTCACATAAATTACAAATATTTTTTCACAGTTTTGTTTATGTGCTAGATGGCTTCTCTGCCTTCAGTTTTGTATCCCTTAAAACCCTTCTCTACTCTATGCCTCAGAATGTTCTTTTAAATATCCTGGGCAGTTCTCTTATGCTTTTAGGCTGTGAATATGCTATTTCATCTGACTAAAACAGTGGTTTCAACTTTTTAAAAATTTCATGAATATTATAGAATATTGTGATTCTGTAGGAACTACTAGTTCTAAAGAGTCTTTAACCCTTTTATGCCTTTTTATACTCAGAATTGTTTATATAATTATCTCATTACTGGACTGAAATTTTAAGACTGACAATTCCCTAGCTTCTCTCTCTACCTTCCAGTATGGATTATGGGGGCCTTACACTTAGTATAGTACTAGCAAATAGTGCATTGTTTTTTTTTTTTTAATTGTACTTTGGGCTCTGGGGTACATGTGCACATCCTGCATTCTGCAGGATTGTTGCATAGGTACATACATAGCAATGTGGTTTGCTGTCTCCATCCCCCCTGCTGCTCCATCACCTACATCAGGTATTTCTTCCTGTGTTATCCCTTCTCATCCTCGCTGCCCCCCAACTGCGTCACTGTCTCTCCCTTCTCCTCCAACCCCTCCCCCAACCTAGCCCAGTGAATGTTGTTCTTTGCTCTCTTCCCTGTGCCCAAGTGTTCTCATTGTTCATCACCTGCCTATGAGTGAAAACATGCAGTATTTGGTTTTCTGTTCTTGTGTCAGTTTGCTGAGAATTATGGTTTCCAGATTCATCCAAGTCTCTACAAAGGCAGGAACTCATTGTTTTTATGGCTGCATAGTATTCCATGGTGTATATGCTACTTTTCTTTGTCCAGTCTATCATCCATGGGCATTTGGGTTGGTTCCAGGTCTTTGCTATTGTAAACAGCGCCACAGTGAACATACATGTTCACGTGTCTTTATAATAGAATGATTTATAATCCTTTGGGTATATTCCCAGTAATGGGATTGCTGGGTCAAATAGAATTTCTATTTCTAGCTCCTTGAGGACTTGCCGCACTGTCTTCCACAATGGTTGAACTAATTTACACTCCCACCAACAGTGTAAAAGTGCATCTGTTGTCTCCAGATTTTTTAATGATTGCCATTCTAACTGGAGTGAGTTGTTTTTATTTTATTCTATTTTAAAATTTTAATTAATTAATTTATTTCGAGATCGAGTTATGAGATTGGCTAATGTTTGTATTTTTGGTAGAGACAGGGTTTCACCATGTTGCCAAAGCTGGTCTCAGACTCCGGGGCTCAAGCAATCTATCTGCCTCAGCATCCCAAAGTGCTGGGATTATAGGCCTGAGCCACTGCACCTGGCCAGCAGATAGTGTGCTCCTAATAAGCAAGTATGGAGTTAATCAATCACGACTGCTCTAGAGCACTCTTCTATTGGAAAGGAGCTGCAACTTTGTCACATTTGTAGCCTTTTCTACTTCCTCTGGTTTTTACTATATTTTAGATAATGAGATAATTGATCTTGATGAGTAAGGTGGAGGAACATAGCCCTTTTCTTTTAGAACCACAATGTTTGTCTGATTTTTTGCAGATTTTTAAATAATGCTTATTCTTTTTTTGTGTACCAAGTAATGAAGTGATGAGAGAGTGAATTTAGAAAGTAAGAAAAAGTTTAGGGTATGGAAATGCCTTACAGTGACTTTGTATTTTTACTTGTGTTCTTAAGAACTTTTATTCATGTAATGCAAAGTAATTTGGGTCAAACTTGAACTTGTGAGAAAATATATTGTACCTAAGGCATTCTCATTTGGAATATGTGATCTGTAGAAATAGAAATATTTTTATTTATTTTACTGTTTTTAATAGGAGGTTCGTAAAGTGAATGAAAGCATCAAGTATAACCACCCATTGAGAAAATGTGTTGATACAATACTTAAAAAGGTAATGAAATAATGTTTTCTTTTGAAATATGCATTTATATAATATTATACCAAAAGTATGAGAAAAGTATAAATACAGCCTATAGCTGAGTAACTCATTTTCTTCTAAACTAATTTTCATAGAAATATTAACCATAAACCATCTGTACTTTGAAGTTTTTTTTAATTACTACAAGTTTAACACTAATTATTGGCAGTATTTTCTGTTGAAATACGGAGATAGAGGTTGACTAATGCATAAGAATTGCCATGACAGTGATGGAAATAAACCTTTAAAGTGTCATTTTATATGTTCACTAAAGGCGTATCTCCTATAAGAAAATAAATTAAGGCCTCCATTATAATCAGCTTCCAACATGTTATTTTACAAATATATTTCATTAATATATTCATGAAATATATCATAAAAAGAGTGACATTAACATAGGTATTTAATAAACCATACAGTTAAGGTTTTGATGCATTGGTATTGAATTAGGGATATTGCAGTTCCCCAATGTCTTAAACTTACAGAACCATGGAAATATTTATTTTCTTGGATTTTAATCTGTTATACTGATTGTTGTCTAGTGTTCTGTTTTGTTGAGATAATACTCATAGGAATCACTTTTCTAACTATTGGTCTCACATTTGCTACTTTTTGAGAACTACTAAGAGAGGTTAACTAACTTGCCCAAGTTCATATAGGTCATAAATGAGTAGTGGTGTGGAAGATGACTTTAAATTCATGTATTTATTTCTCTGTGCTATGCCTTTCAAAAATTCAGCATCTTGAATTTGTCATGAAGCTTCTTCATTCTTCAGCTAGAAAAATAATTTACCTTACTTAGAATAATCCTCTCAAATACAAGTTGCTTTCTGTAGGTAAGCTCCCTGCTGATTGCCATACATATATATCTAGTATATATGAGCATAAAGATTAATATAATACAGGTGAGAAGAAACTCAGTACACCTTTTAAGACATTTTCAAGAAAATATTAGCGAGTAGAAGTCTAACTAGAGATTACAATAAAGTAGGAAGAGGTTTTTGAGAAAATTAGAACTCAAAATGATGCTCAAGAATGAAAGATTTTTAATAAAAAAAATCTTTTACCTTTTTACAATTAAGATTTTAAAAAATCTACTTGTTCCTTTTAGTGCCCTACAGAGTATCAGGAAAAAATGGGTAGGAACATGGATGATTATGAAGATTTTGATGAAAAGCATAATATCTACCCAAGTGAAAAAAGTCTGGTAAAACTGCATAAACAGGTAATTTTGTTAATTATAAATATTTCACTTACTGATGATTTTAGTTAAACTTATAATCATTGCTGATCAAAAAAAGGAATTTTTTTTTTTTTTTTTGAGACAAAGTCTTGCTCTGTCTGTTGCCAGGCGCAAGGCTGGAGTGCAGTGGCGCAGTCTCGACTCACTGCAACCTCCGCTTCCCGCATTCAAGCAATTCTTCTGCCTCAGCCATAAAAGGAATTTTTAGTGAACGTGTATTTAAAACTTTATTTTGTTCCTGTCTTTATCATTATTCCTTGAAATCGTTTATCTTTGTGTATACCAACAGGAGTACTGTTGGCATTTGGGGAGGGAGAATTCTTCACTGAGCATAACTGTGACATTATATAAAACTGGTATATCATTTTAGAACATCTAATATTCTCAGTATGACCCAGTAAATGCACTAGCACTTCCCCATTGATGCGACAATCAAAACATGCTCCCTAGTGGGGAGGTGAACCACTGTTGGATCAGAACACTGTCAGGTCTACCCCCATTCTCTTTTTTAGGTGATTTATTCAGTTCAGAGACACCGTCGAACTCAAGTACAATGGCAAATTCTTTTGGAACAAGCATTTTATCTAGAAGATGTAGCAAAAAATGAAACTAGTGCTACTCGTCAGTTTGTTCACACCTTTCAATCGCCAGAGCCAGAAAATCGATTTGTCCAATATTTTTATAATCCTACATTTGGTATGTAATTTGATATAATATTATAAACTTTAATGATGAAAAGTTTTCTGTAGAAAAAAATTATGTATTTTCACCAATGCAAAGTTGAATTTTATTTGTATTATTTGATTTATACTTTGTGATATTAAGTATTTGATAACATTTCCCCAAAATAACTATTTTACCAGTTTCCAAAATAAACCAGTTTCCACTGTTACATCACAAGTAATAAAAATTCTATTTAAAAACATGTATACATGAAGCATATTTTGTATAATGCATAATGTATACAATTATGCATTACTTAATGACTGGAATTCATCCTGAGAAATGTGTAGTTAGTCAATTTCATCATTACAAGAGCATCATAGAGTATGTATGAAACCTAGATTTTATAGCCCACTACACATGTAGGCTATATGGTATGGCTTATTACTCCTAGGCTACAAACCTATACAGTATGTTACTATACTGAATATTGTAGGCAGCTGTAACCCAGTGGTATTTGTGTATCTAAACATAGAAAAGATAATCATAAACATGTAGTGTTGTAATTTTATGGGATCACCATTGGATATGCAGTCCATCATTGACTGGAATGTTGTTATGTGACACATGACTGTACTTAAAATAGTTAGAATTTTAAGTAATTTTATATCACAAGCATGGGACTCTTTTTCAGTCTTGACATACTACTGAAATATTCCCCTAAGTAGTCCTCTTTATTAGTCTTGTTATAAAACCTATACTCTGTAGTCATCCTTATTTTTCTCCTTTTTGATAATTTATGACACTCCCTTCAAGTGTTGTTAAATGTAGTGTGAAGAAACTTAATGCAAGTACCAAAGTGTCACAGTATTAAAACTTATTAAACCTTATTTATTCAAATAAATGGTTATATTCACGTGTTCCTCCTTTGCATGTTTGGTTTTTAGTATGAAGACCTAATGGCTATAATAAATATCTCAGAAAACTTCTTTAACAAAAATCCTTCCTAGTTAAATGAGGGAATGATGTAGTATCTGTTTTTATTCATTCAACAAATATTTGGGTACATTAGTGTAATATATTGTTGGGCGCTTGGTAGCTTGGCATATATCGATTTAAAAAGACAAAAGTTCCTGCTTTTGTGGAGTGAGGAAAACAGACAATGAACATATAAAGGCATAGAGATGCTGAATAGGCAGTTGATCAGAGAAATTGAAGTTCAGGGAAAAAGTCTGAACTGCAGGTATGAATTAGGGTGCGATCAATGTATAGCAAACCATGGGGTCAGGATCAAATCAATAAAGAAGTAATTGAGATAGAGAAAAGAGAAAAGTCTGAGGACCAAGCCTGAGGCACTCCAGAATTTAGAGATTAGGTCGATGAGAAGTAACCAGCAGAAAAGACTATAAAAGGAGGGAATGAAATAGGAAAATAAGGACAATGAAGTGTTTAGAGGAAAAGAGTATGTAAAGTACCTTTTCAAATGTTGCACATAGATTAAGGATCATAAATACTAAGACTTGACCATTGGGTTTTAGAGAAGTGAGGATAAAAAAGCCTGACTAAAGTTTAAAAGAAATAAGAAGAGGATCAATTGGAGACAGAGGAGAAAACTCTAAAAATGTTTTCCTTATAAAAGAGAACAGAGATAAGGTGTAGTAGCTGATAGAGGATTGGGGGCATAGTCAAGAGAAATTATCACATGTAATTAGTAAATGATATAATAGAATTTGATAAGACAATAGAGAATTTCTAGGACAATGTTCATGATTAGTAGAGATGAGATGGGAAATAGTGAACAATGAAGAGAATAGTGAGGTAAGGCACAGATATAACTAGATAAGAAGGTGTAGTGTTAGAAACTTCGGAAAATTCTGATCACTTCTATTTTCTCAGTGAAATGTGGAGAGTAAGTATAGGAGGGCAGATTTTAGAGATTTGAAGAAGGAAGAGAAGGTGCAAAATAGTTGCCTAGGAGAGTGGTCATGGGAGAAGATTGGGGAATTATAGTAGGCTAACTAGGTAATATAGTACGGAGGACCCACTTGAAGCTAGTGATTAAGAATTTAAAGTGAGACCAGTCAACAAAGTTGTGTGCCTTTTTCCTGCAATGTGCAGCTATGTGGATGCAGGCACAGACCAGCCAGGGAGTTGGATCTAACCAGATGTGGTTTAGCTAAGCAGGTACCGTGAAGCAAGGTGGGGCAAAGGAAGTGGGATACCGTCCTCAAAGACTGGAATCTGGGCCGCATGAGGAAGGAAGGACATCAAAGTGTTAAATAACAGTAAAAAGGTGATAGAATAAATTGATTTTTGGTCTAGGTGTGGTCAGTGGGTGTTGAAATATTGTACTAGATGAATGTATTGTTTGGAGACAAGGATGCTGAAATGAGATAATATGGAAGGGTTGGAGATACTGATAATAAAAGGTTTAGGCATTACTATGGCAGCAAGTAATTGAGGTAGGGTGGAGGAAAAGTTCATTAGAGGAGAGGAGGTCAAGGAAATGAGAGACAAAGGTATTGAAAGGGGAATCATTTACGTGGATATTGAAATCACTAGGAATTATTATGAGAGGAAGGTTGTAAAGAATTAAAGTGAGCCAGAAGTTCAACTATTTAATAAATGAAATAAAAATACAGCTTTTTCAATTTATTGAGCTTTCTTTTTTTAATTTTTAGTTTTACCTAAATTCAGACTTAAAACCAAAATAATATAAAATATTCCCACATAGCCTTCAACCAGGTTCTTTAAATGTTAACATTTTACCATATTGATTTGCTTTATCTGTATATATTTTTTCTTATGATTTTAGAGTTGTATGCAGCAGACACGATGCCTCCTTATTCCTAAATGTTTCAGTATATATTTTCTAAAATAAAAATATTTTCTTACGTAGCCAAATACAGCTATCAAAATCAAAAATTAATATTGTACTATTTACAGACCCTATTCAGATTTTGCTATAAATATCCCAATAATATTCTTTGTATAAAATTCCAGATCATGCATCACATTCAGTTGTTACGTTTCCTTATTTTCCTCTAATCTGACACAGTTTCTCAGTCTTTGTATTTTATGATACAGATGTTTTTGGGAGTATAGGCCAGTTTCTTGTTGAATGTCCTTGAATTTGACTTTGATGTTTCTTTAAAATTAGATGCAGGTTCTGCATTTTTTTTTTTGTAGGAATACCACAGCAGCAATGTCATGTTCCTTTCAGTACATAATAGCATGAGGTACATGATATCAGCTTGTCCCATTATGGGTGATCATTCGGTTAGGGTGGTATTTGCCTGGTTTCTCCACTGTAAAATTGTTGTTTTTCTCTTCATAATTAAGTATCTTATTGGGAGATATTTTGAAGACAATGTAAATACTCCGTTACTCTTTTATAGTTTTCCTAATCATTTTTTTCTTTTATCTTCTAGAGTGGTACTGGGAATGTCTTTTGCGACCATGGTTTTACAAGATACTTGCTGTGGTTCTGTCCATCTTCTCTGTGATTGTTGTGTGGTCAGAGTGCACATTCTTTAGCACTACTCCTGTCTTATCCCTCTTTGCAGTCTTCATACAGCTGGCAGAAAAAACATATAATTATATTTATATTGAGGTCAGTTTATTTTATATCTATCATAAATAGATGTCACTTCATAGCATAATCCTTAACTGTTTTCTCCATGTATTTCTTCTACTGAAAATGAAATCAGTGAAGTTTTTGGCAGTGTTGTTATTCAGACTTCCAAAAATGTGCTTCATTGTTTTACCCACATTATAGAAACTAAGAACTGTATTTGAGGAGACGTAAAAAGTTGCAGGATAGTGCAAAAATCTGAGAATATTTTTTTCTTTTCTTTCTTTCTTTTTTTGGAGGCAGAGTCTTGCTGTCACCCAGGCTAGAGTACAGTGGCGTGAACATGGCTCACTGTAACCTTGACTTTCCGGTCTCAAGAGATCCTCTCACCTTAGCCTCCCAAGTAGCTGGGCCTACAGCAATGTACCCCCATCCCCTGCTAAATTTTGTATTTTTTGTAGAATCAGGGTTTCACCATTTTGCCCAAGCTGATCTGGAGCTCTTGGGCTTAAGTGATCCTCCTGCCTCAGCCTCCCAAAGTGCTAGGATTACAGACCTGAACCATCACACTCAGCCCTGGGAATACTTTGATTATATTTATGCCAGTAAAGCTACATAACTTATAGGCCTCATGTGAAGAGTTGCCAAGGGAATGGGAAAATAGGCTCACTTTAGGAGATAGATTAGAAACTTATGGATCTAAGATATTAAACAGTTTGAAGTATAGATTTTTTTCTATAATCTTAGTAGGTGATTAAAAAATTCTCTGTTACACCCATATTTCAATTACAGCGTCAATAAATGTTAGCTAGAAATGAAGGCTAGGCTGGGCGCAGTGGCTCACACCTGTAATCCCATCACTTTGGGAGGCCAAGGTTGGCAGATCACAAGGTTAGGAGTTTGAGACCAGCCTGGCTAACATGGTGAAATCCCATCTCTATTAAAGATACAAAAAATTAGGCAGTCATGGTGGTGCAGGCCTGTTATCCCAGCTACTCGGGAGGCTGAGGCAGGAGAATCATTTGAACCTAGGAGGTGGAGGTTGCAGTTAGCCGATAACATACCACTGCACTCCAGCCTGGGCAACAGGATGAGAGCATGAGACACTATCTCAAAAAAAAAAAAAAAAAAAGGAAGGATAATACTTATAATTGTTAAGTGCTAAAGTCTCTTTGTTTTAAACAAATGGTTTTGTTTTTGTTTTTTTTCCAGATTGCTTGCTTCCTTTCCATCTTCTTCTTAAGTATCTGTGTTTATTCTACTGTGTTCAGGATTCGTGTATTTAACTATTATTACTTGGCTTCACATCACCAGACTGATGCTTATAGCCTTCTTTTCAGTGGCATGTAAGTAGGATTGTGTTTAGAAACAACAGAAATTATTTCATTTAGTGTATTTTTATGGATCTTTTATTTTTTTGTTGTTTACAGGTGTTAACTACTAACATCTGTATTTCTATGAGCTAATAGATTAGGTTTAAATATTAAATTCATGTTTGTTGATTGCCAACTAACTTCTGCTTGAGGTTTAAGGTTAAAGTAGGTGTACTAGGTTAGGCTAGAAGGCAGAAAAAACAATACTTAGTGAGCCTGGATTTACCAACCAGAGATTAGCAAGGAGCAGGAACAATGGAGAGTTTAGAGACTAAGTCAGACCTAGATAGTGTTCTAAGATTCAGTGGTCCCTCACTGAGTTGATGAAGACTGAGAAAACCAACAAGAACAATTTTTCCTGCAGAATTTAGGGAGGATTTAGAGAGGTATCTTCAACTTGGGCAAGATTATACAATCCATTACTTGTTCTTATTGTTAAATGAGTCCTATTAGGTATTTATAAAGGATGAAATCCGATAATATAGGGGAATTGACATCTAAAGTATTTTTAAGCATCTTTTTTATTGTTTTCCAAATAATTATGGAATCACAGGAAGTTGCAAAAACAGTACAAAAAGTCCTATGTAACCTTTGCCACACTTTGATACCCCCAGTGATATCAAAACCAGGAAATGAGAGTAAAACATGATTATTAACTATACTACAAACTTTATTTAGTTCTCACCATTTTTTTTTATCCTTTATTCATTTGTGTGTGTGTGTCTGTCTGTGTATATAGATTCCTATAGCCACCAACACAAGATTTAGAACAGTTCTATCATCACAAAAGATTTCTCTCATTATGTCTTTTTTATTCATACCTGGGGTCACCACCTGCAGGGATCTGTCCTGCAGACCCTGACTCAGTGACAGATGTATAAAGTACACTGACACACAAATATGCTTTGCCAGTTCGACTGAGTGTGTCTGGGTGGCTTACAGACTCTCTAGAGAGTGCTATAAACAGTTGTGAATACCAGCCTGCACCAGCCAGTAAGACTCACATTTATTTTATTTTTATTTATTTATTTATTTATTTTTGTTGTACTTTAGATTCTGGGGTACATGTGCATGTTATGCTAGGTTGTTGCATAGGTGCATACATAACCAGGTGGTTTGCTGCCTCCATTTCCCTTTCATCTATATCTGGCATTTCTCCCCATGTTATCCCTCCCCACCCCCACTGCTCCCAGTGTGTGATGCTCCTCTCCCTGAGTCCACCTGTTCTCATTATTCAACACCCGCCTATGAGTGAGAACATGTGGTGTTTGGTTTTCTGTTCTTGTTTCAGTTTGCTGAGAATGATGGTTTCCAGATTCATCCAAGTCCCTGCAAAGACACAAACTCATCGTTTTTTTTTATGGCTGCATAGTATTCCATGGTGTATACGTGCCACATTTTTTTGGTCCAGTCTATCACTGATGGGCATTTGGGCTGGTTCCAGGTCTTTGCTATTGTACAACAGTGCTGTAATGAACATACATGTGCATGTGTCTTTATAATAGAATGATTTATAATCCTTTGGGTATATACCCAGTAATGGGATTGCTGGGTCAAATAGAATTTCTATTTCTAGCTTCTTGAGGACTTGTCACACTGTTTTCCACAATGGTTGAACTAATATACAATCCCACTGACAGTGTTAAGAGTGCTCCTATTTCTCCACATTCTCTCCAGCATCTGTTGTCTCCAGATTTTTTAATGATCGCTATTCTAACTGGCATGAGACGATAGCTCAATCTAGTTTTGATTTGCATTTCTCTAATGACCAGTGATGATGAGCATTTTTTCATATATTTGTTGGCCTCATATATGTCTTCTTTTGAGAAGTGTCTATTCATATCCTTTGCCATTTTTGAATGGGTTTGTTTTTTTTTCTTGTAAGTCTGTTTTAGTTCTTTGTAAATTCCAGATATTAGCCCTTTGTCAGATGGGTAGATGGCAAAATTTTTTCCCATTCTGTTGGCTGCTGGTTCACTCTACTGATTGTTTCTTTTGCTGTACAGCAGCTCTGAAGTTTAATTAGATACCATTCGTCTATCTTGGCTTTTGCTTCCATTGCTTTTGGTGTTTTAGTCATAAGACTCACATTTATTCAGTAAAGTTTAATTGACAAAGGCTTGAGTCAACACCACTAGAGATTGAAGATTAAAGGAGAGGTTCCAATGCCCGAAGCAAACACTGTTAGCGGGTAATATGCCTGGTCAACCTCCCCCTGAGAGGGCCATCCGGCTCAAAGGTTAGTTTTAAGACCACATGAGGAAACAAGTTATTCAGATAAACTCCCCTACATACCCTAGCTATTTGCTTTTCTTATTAACTAGATGTAAAGGGGATTTAGGCTACCTTCAGCTGAAACTTCTACTGAAACTATGCAAACTTCTTGGCCTTCCAAGAAGGTTTGTGACTATATTCTATAACTCTCTCTAATATTTTCCTTTAATATTTTTGCTACCATCCTGAGTGAATCCCTATACATATCTACACTTTATTCTCTTCAGCCCCAATTCTCCAAGTCTGTGGGTATGTAAGGCACTGTTTTTATTTGGACAGAATTGAACAACTCTGTACCTATACTTGTCAGAATGACATAATGTTGATACAACTTCAGTTCTTTTATGTACTGAATACAATTCACCTTGAGGACGTTACTGTCCTTGTCATGCTGGGAGATGCATTTTATGGATGATTTAGTTGTAGGAGATGCATGCAAAGGCACTCCACAATTTGTGGGGGTAAAGCAATGGCAGAAACTGTAAAAGCAAGGAGCTTGAGGCTATAGTTATATAGGCATTAATATGACCATTTTCAGAATATCCTCCCAAGTAAGTAAGGGCAGGTCACATTAAGAATTTTCTAGATATATATATAAAACACACACATATATATATAGAACAAATAGATGAATATTTTATATATAATTATTGGAAATGTCTTTAATACACCTCAGTATAGATAAAAATGTATTTTGCTGCTTTACTTTTTATATATGTATTTGTAAATGTTTATTGCAGGCTATTTTGCCGTTTGACACCTCCTTTATGTCTTAATTTCTTGGGTTTGACCCATATGGATTCATCCATCTCTCACAAGAATACTCAGCCAACTGCTTATACATCTGTACGTATGGTCACAAAACTAATTCCTTAGGTTCACTATCTATATGAGATGCTATTATTGTGAAATTTCTTTTAATGCTAGCAGAAAAGTTTTTTAGTGTTACTGGTAAAACTTTCTCTTAAATATTGTATATATATTACTATTGACTAGATGAACATGATTTTACTTCTCTTATTACATAAATGTGTTTTGGTTTGTATAGGTTGTCTAGATGAGCAGTATCAAAAGAATTTACCTATACTAACATTAACTTTATATTTATAGTCAATGTATATGATAATATTGAGTAATAATTACATTAATTTTCCTTAAGAGAAAAACCTCAATAAAAAGCAGATTTAAAAAAAATAGTTCATTTACTGCTTTGTTTCTACTTTTTAATAGGTTCAAGTGGGTTGGTATAACTGGTTTTGGGCAAATTTTCTAATGATGGAAAGGAATGGAAATTATAGAACTATTCCAATTTAACTTACTTTTTTCTTACTCTTCAGATTATGGGTTCCATGAAAGTTTTATCCTTTATTGCAGATGGATTCTATATATATTATCCTATGTTGGTGGTAATTCTCTGCATTGCTACTTATTTTAGGTAAGAAACATATTATTTTTTCTTTTGCTCTTAAATCTGGATATCCTTTCTCTTTAAAGTTCTGTTAAGTATTTACTGATGGAGTTTCAGTTTGTTTTATTGTGGCTTTAGAGAAGCTGGGGAGAGTTTGAAGAGACTACTGAGTGATCAGGTCACATTCTCCCTCTAAAAATTTTAAAGAAAGAAAAAAGAGGTAGAGTTATTATTCTATTACAATAAATAGTTTTATTTTAGCATTATTCTATTTAGGCTAAAAAGTGATAGGATTAATTTCAGAACGTTAACTCTAAGTCCTGGCTTTTGACATTCACAGCTAGTCTAGCCTGCAAAGCACCCTTATGTCCAGCTTCTTGCGGGCTGTCTAGTTGCTTTAGCCCATGGCCAGCACAAAGGGTCAGGGAGGAGCAATTGTAATCAAGTTGTACATTAAAACGAGAGAAGAAATTTTCTCCTGTGTCGGAAAGTACACAGGATGCTCTTTTCATGGAATTAGAATGAATGGTAGAATCTAGGCAGGGTTGAGATTCACGTGGGGTTAAAGGATAGGTGTACTTGACTTCTAGCATCTGTCTTTCCTAGTTTTTACATGTCAAGTTTCCTCATCCTGTACTCTGTCTACCCTCTTTCATTGCTTAAGTGCTCCATAACATACCCAAAATGCCACTTTTTCAAAAAACACTTAAAAATGTTCATTACTTACTCCTCTGAGAAAAATAAATTTCATCTACCTACTTTATTTAAATCTTCCAATAGGGGCTGGGTGCGGTGGCTCACACCTGTAATCCTAGCACTTTGGGAGGCTGATGCAGATGGATCACGAGGTCAGAAGTTTGAGACCAGCCTGACTAACATGGTGAAACTCTGTCTCTACTAAAAATACAAAAGCTAGCATGGTGTGGTGACATGTGCCTGTAATGCCAGCTACTCAGGAGGCTGAGGCAGGAGAATATCTTGAAAACCCAGGAGGCAGAGGTTGCAGTGAGCTGAGATCACACCACTGCACTCCAGCCTGGGATACAGAGTGAGACTCAGTTTCAAAAAAAAACTAAAGAAAAAGCTTTCAATATTATTTGATGGTTGTTACAGATAATATATACTAACAGGGTAATGAGTAAACAAATATTGTTTAAAATAAATTCTCTATTGCATTTAAAAAATATATTTTACTTCCTTTAAAATAACTAAAAGATTATAACTTCAAATAATACTTTTAATATGAACTGATCAATAATATCAAATCTAGTATTTTGAATGTTTTCTTTAAAGTGGAGAAGACAGTAACAAATCTACAGTGTGAAAATGATGTATTAAAAGAAGAGATTAGTCATACTTTGTGTGTCTGAAACTAAGTTTTTATTACATGCTTACTCATTTGAAAAGTTTGTAAAGTAGAACATTAAGAACTTGTAATGTAAAATGATTTTTTAATGTTAGCAGTTATGTTGGCAAGATTAGCATTTCTTCTTACCTTATTAAATGGTTATATAGATCAAGTGATATGTGGTAGAGTAGTGCTCTGTCAACTATAAAATCTTAGCTATAAGGAATCACTATGTCTGAAAGGAAAATTGTTAAACTTAAGTATCATTAAAAGTGTCTTTCTAGAGTTAATCTGATAAATTTTGAGTTCTATTTTATCTTTAAGAGAAAAAAAGATTGTATTTTTAAATTTTCAGATTAACTCACAAAATAGATGTTCTGTTATAGAAATACATGGAACAATGCCTTACTGACATCTCAATGATAGGTTGATTTTATAAATTCATTTTCATTTGAAATGCTGCCATAATTAGATTGATTTCTACACTATTAGCAGTAAAGCCACACACAAAGTGAATATCCAGACTCACCTGCTTAGAGAGTATAATGTTGTTTCCTGACACTTAGACAAAGATAAAACCTTCCCAGAGAGGATGATCTAATTCTGAGCTTCTCATCTGGGAGTTTAGTACTCCCATAAGGATATGAAGATGGTAAGGAAATGTTTGAAGTCAGAGAATTAACATGATCATCTACAAAACCCCAATTTTACCCAATGGTAATACATAAAAATCATTTTTATATGAATGAAACAAGTAGATATATTCTGGATTAGCTAAATATTTACACATTTTGACTGCAAAATGGAATGGAGATCTTCACTTTTTCTGAATTGCTTTTCTGTTTTTCCTTTGTCTCTCTCTGTCTCTCTCCTTCACCACTTTCTCCTCCTTCCTTTGCCTTCCTCTGTGTACATCATTGAAAAATTTGAGAACTAATATAATTTTAAAAAGCTGCTTGATTTGTGTTTTGGCTGGGATAAGATATGTCATTTATTAAGTAATCTTTAGCAAAGTATTTACTTAACCACTTAGGCCTATTTTCTCATCTGTAAAGTGATATTTATCTCTTAGAATGATAGTAAAAATGAAATAAGAAGGCATCTGTAAATTGTCTGATGTATAGTTGGATCTTAACAAATATTAATCCTGTCTATTCACCTATCATTTCCTTCCTTGTGTTCCATATTTTCAGTATGATTGTCTTGAATGACAATCAAATTTAAAGTAAATAGCAAATAAGATACAATGTAGTAGTCTTCAGATAAGATATAGTAATCAATTGATAGTATATAAAGCTATTTAAATGGTTAACTAGATCAGAGGAAAAAAGTTGCTCTTACATTATTATAGTTATTATTTTAGTATCTTGGTATAATTGTTTTCTGAAGGTATGCTGATAACTTAATTGACATCTATAAGAAACCTGAATATAGTGCATACCCTAATCAGTGAAGTACAGGGCATACGCTTCTTAGAAAGGGAGATAAGTGGTACTTCCTGAAGCATGTCAGATGTGACTGTAGATAACTGTATGATAACAGATAATGAAGCATAGTCTTCTTTGGGAGTGACATTGCTAAGGAATAATTCATCTAAATACTTACAATGTGAAATAATGCTTGTCTTTTAAAAAAAATCTTCTTTTATTAGTTTGGGAACCCGTTGTTTGAATCTGCTTGGTTTCCAGCAGTTTATGGGAGATGATGATATGACATCAGACTTAGTTAATGAAGGAAAAGAATTAATCAGAAAAGGTAAGGTTTGTCTTTTAAAATAAATGAAGAGAAAATACTAAATGTTAAGCTCAAAATACAAAATTAATATTTGTATAATTTGTGAATAATTTGTACTCTATCCTAAAAAATTATAAACTAATGCAAATTTTTAGCTAAACATGTACATATAGCCTTCCTAGCAAAAATAATTTGTAAACATAAATAATTGTTTTATCTGTCTTTAAGAAATTCTGAAACTTAAGGCTGCGTGTGGTGGCTCACACCTGTAATCCCAGCACTTTGGGAGGCTGAGGTAGGTGGACCCACCTGAGGTCTGAGTTTGAGACCAGCCTGACCAACATGGAGACACCCTGTCTCTACTAAAAATACAAAATTAGCCGGGTGTGGTGGTACATGCCTGTAATCCCAGCTATTCGGGAGGCTGAGGCAGGAGAATGGCTTGAACCCAGAGGCGGAGGTTGAGGTGAGCCGAGATCGTGCCATTGCACTCCAGCCTGGGCGACAAAAGCAAAACTCCATCTCAAAAAAAAAAAGAAATTCTGAAACTTAAATATTAGTATGTTTGCAGCTAGATAACATCCTTGTATGGTCTTGGAATCATTTTCATGTTTACCTTGAAGCCTATTTGCCAAGTTCTGTATAACTATAAAACTCATAAATTTAAAGAATCATCAGTTTGATACTGCATAGAAGATCATTCAGGCAAAGACTACTTTTTTAGAATGTGATGATCATTAACAGCCTGTTAGAATACATGGCACTCTAGTAGAATCAAATCACAAAACTGAGTGTATTAAATTTGTTGATGTTCAAAGTGATGGTACCATGGAGGGAAAAAAATCTTGACTTTTGGGACATTGGTTCTTAGACATTCTCCCTACTTGAGTCTGGGGCTTTTGTGTGATTATGAGTTGAATATAAGCCAAAATATATTACAGCTCCCAAATAATCTAGTGTAGCCTTCACATGTTCTTCTGTTAGACCTCATGACATAACACATCCAGTCCTAGGTAAGATTTTAAAGAATAAGACTGATAAATTAGAAAGTATTTAGAGAAGGACAGCTAGAATTATGAGTCTGTAGAGTGTATCCTATGGGAAAAAAGTGAAAAATATCATGTCCGTAACCTAAAGAGAGTAACATAGAAAGAGACTCATACAGAAAGAAAGGAAGTATGAACTTAACTTAGAAGACAGGAATAAAAGAGAATATGATTTACAGAGAAATAAATTTCATTGTGAGAAAGAGCTGTCTCTTCCCTAAAGTTATTTAAACAGAGACTACAGGGTCATCTCCAACAAAAATAGAGAAGGCATTCACTATTTATTGAGTGAGGTAACTTCTCAAAATTCTTTCCAGCAATAACCTATAACATTTGATTTTGTGGTAATTTAAAATAAATATCACATAGTTCGATATCTTTAGTTCGGTTGCACTATGTCTGATTAAACCATGTTATGCCATATTTGACACTATTTTTCTGTGTTTAGAGAAGAGAAAAAGACAAAGGCAAGAAGAAGGTGAAAATCGAAGAAGAGTAAGTACAGTATTAATTTTCTGTAATCAAGATTAATTTGAAATAAAATTTCTTAAGATATTAATTTGGAATAATTAGCTAAAGATGGAAAAAAGTGGGACAATGTTAAAATATATATTTTTAAAGGAAGGGAATTGTAATACTTTCAGATGTACACACTAAGTATCCTGACAGACCTGTTCTAAAAGTCATTAGTAATAAATTACTTCCTATTTAACATCGAGCGCTTCTTGCCTAAAGTAGCTGCTCAATGAATATTTGTTGAATGAATAAATACATATATTCTTGCTGTTAAAGTGGCTTTGATTGCTTTAAAATTGTTTCTCTTTTTTGATGTGACATTAATTTTATTTCTCCTTAATTTTTCTTTAAGCCTCCATTTTCTGAGCTAAACTAACCTAGAAAGTGAAAAGGCAAAAATGTGTAAAATCTAATTATAATTACCACACATTTTTAACAAATGGGTGTATATACTGGCAAAGACTAACAGGAAGCTTTATAGTTGTCTTTGTGTATCTTCATATATGTGTATCTTCTTTATTTTAGAAGGCAGAACTAGAACCAGAGTAGAAGTTACTAGAGATAGATTTCTCCTCTCTATGAGAATTTCTAATTTATGCAATTTACCAGAATTGCAATAGGCTTCTCAGACATAGAAAACTGCATGCTGTCTAGTCAGAGAGCCAAAAAGCATCTGGCGAGGAGGTTTTATAAAGAGACCCTGCGCTGCATGGAAAGTTGCCTTAGGTGACTTCTGATGTCCCTTTCAATTCTAAGAATTTCATGAGTGGAATCCAGTTAATGTGGTTTTACTGCATTTAGGATAACTCATAATGCCATGTGAGTCATAGACTATGTTTGTATACAACTTTAAGTGTTGATGTTTTACCTCTTTAATACTTTAGCTCTTTAATACTCAAATAGTTTATTTGAGTGAAAGAAAATTTTGTTAGCATCTATTAGTCATTATGGGTTCTCATAACTTTTGTATGGTCAAGGCAAACTTGTCATAGTAATATTGTTTTACATTTTAGATAGATGAGTAACAATCAAAGTTAGCAGAATGTCTCTATGTCTTTGTAAAAGTTAAAGTATATAGAGACTGTGACTTCAGTAAATCATGGAAAAATGAAAACATTGACCTATGATTTTTAAAGATGCTAGGATAATTATATTGATTACTAATGAATTTCTGATGAAAATAATTAAGTTATATTTCATTGCATATGTCATCTCTTGACATTAATGAATTATTTTCTGTTCTCTTGTTATATATTTACTTGTGTTTCTTTTCTAGGAATGGAAAGAACGTTATGGACACAATAGAGAAGATTCCACTAGGAACAGAAATATTCATACTGACCCAAAAGAGTCAAACTTCTCAGATGTTAATACCAACCGGTGTAAGTAGTTTATCTTCTAGTTCACTTGGAAAGTGTTTTCTTATGCTTGCTTGCGTAGAGATTGAGTATTAGAATACTCATCCAGAAATGCCTTTGTAGAATTATAAATGTGTATTTGCAGTGACTTTTTTTTTTTTTAACATTTCTCTGTATATAGAAGGAAGGGAAGTACAAATATGTACTCTGGTAGGGAAAGGAGAAACTGGGGCATCAAATGAGTAGTTGTAAGTATACTAACCCTACGTAATGTAAGCACTCATCCCAGGTATTTTCTAGGCAGGTGTTTATTTCTACCATTTCCCTTGATGTTTTTCTTTCCTATTAGTAAGTTTAGGTTATTCGATCATTTTTATAATAATTTATTGACTGACCCATATAACTTAGGCATATTCCCAGGTATACAGCAATACAAAGAAGGTATATTTCTTGTCCTCAGGATGTCATAACTGAGTGAGGGACTGATAACGGACAGAAGTCATCTGCCATCAGGCGGATTAGGAAACCTTCCTGTATCACTGATCCCACACTGACACGGGGCAGAAGCTATTTAGGAGGTACCAAGAAACCAGTTTTTGCCTAGGACCTTGAGTTGAGTAGGAGGAGGAGGTTGTTTTTGGGAGAGACGTAAGATTGCTGAAAGAGCCCCACCAGTGAGGCTTTAGTGCACAGGATTTAAGACTGAGGATGGGGGAGGAAAAACTGAGCACCCTCTCCCACTCAGCTATGAGTTTTGCACTGAGTACCAATGGATGAGGAATAGAAACATGGAGAAGACTCCCTCTGTGGAATATCCATGCAAGGACTACTGAAATCTGACAGTGGAAAAAGAATGCTGAGAGAAACCATCTGACACTTGAGACCCTGCTAAGTACAAGGTCATAGCATTTCATCACTAGAGAAATGTGAAGTCTGTGGGGACTTAAAGAAACTAAAGCAATAACCAAGTCCAAACTCGGATCAACTATATCAGCTCTCAACAGTGATGATCTAATAGAAGGGGTGTGCCCAATTTGGGCATAAAACTTTGATTTCTCTACATTTTTTTCTTTCTTTACACATAATGTATGGCTTTTAACCCAAAATTATGAGAAATACAATAAAGTAAGATATTATGAGCCGTTTTCAAAACATAAAATAGTGAACATACCAGACCCAGAGGTGGCTCAAATGTTGAAATTATCAGACAGTGCAGTGACTTTAAAATAACCAATTAGTATGTTAAATAATCTGATGGAAAGCTTGGACAATGTGCATGAACAGATGGGGGGAATTTCACCAGAGAGATGGAAACTATACAAAAGAGCTAAATAGAAATGTTAAAAGTATTTTAATTACAGACTATGTATGATATTGTAGACTTCTCATGACAGCTCTGATGGAAGGATGCACACCTGATGCAGAAGGAATTCAGCTTGGGGAATGGAAAAAGAGGGCTTATCTTAGGAAAGAGTTTTTATAATGAAGAAATATTTCTGTAATGAGGATATGCTTAGATGAGTATTTAGGAATGAATAGTACTTAGCCAGGTGAAGGGTATTTTAATTAGAAGGGAGACTAAGTACAGGACGCTGTGTCATAAGAGAACCTTTGGGAAAATGTATGTTTTTCTCTGCAACTAAAGCCTAAGCATGAAGAGGCTAACAAGAGAGGAGGTCATAGAGATAATTGGGGAACAGATATTGTCATGCTCCAAAGTTTGGATTTGGGGCCAGGTGTGGTGGCTCACACCTGTGAGGCTGACGTGGGCAGATCACCTGAGGTCAGGACTTTGAGAACAGCCTGGGCAACATGGTGAAACCCCATCTATAGTAAAAATACTAAAAGTAGCTCGGCATGGTAGCAGGCACCTGTAATCCCAGCTACTCAGGAGGCTGAGACAGGAGAATATCTTGAACCCAGGAGACAGAGGTGGCAGTGAGCTGAGATTGCATCACTGCACTCTAGACTTGGTGACAGAGCAAGATTCCATCTCAAAAAAAAAAAGTTTGGATTTTGACCTAATGATAAGATTTCAATCTGGGAAGAAGCATGATAAGATTTTTGGTTTAGAAAGATGAATTTGATGGCAGTGTAAACCATAATTTTTAGGGAAGTGAGACGTAGAAACCATTTAAGAGACTGTTTTGGTGATGCAGTCAAGAAATGATTAGGGTCTAAAATAAGGCAGTGGTCCTGGAGATGAAAAAGATTTATTTGAAGGACTTCAGGGTAGAATAAATAGGAAAGAGCTAAAGCTTTAGTTAAATCTAGGAAATAGTGAGGATTCTGTAAAGGGATTTGGATACTTGCTTACCATAGAGTGGAAGGAAGTTTACAGAATGGAAAGCTCTGGCAATGCTTAGAAGGGAGTCACAAAGCTATAGGATGATAAATTAGAGGGAATCTTGCATGTATTGGGCAATTGCAATTTGCTGAATGAGTGAGAGAAAAGATGAAGAGACTTGCATTTAGGACAAAGTCCAAGCTTACAGAAATATAAAAATGTGATAGAATTGGCTTGGCTTAAGTTTTCAGAAAGAACTCTATCATACAGCTAGTATAAAGCTCCTTGGATTCCTCTGGACAACATTGTGAAAATTTGGTTTGTTTATAAAGAAATCGACATCCACATAGAGAAAGGAGAGTTTTCTATATCTGCTGTCTGGTATGATAATCATTAGCCACGTGCAACTTGAGCAGTTGCAACATATTGAAATGATAATATTTGGGATATATTGTGTTAAATTAAATATATTAAAATTAATTTCATTTGTTTCTTTTTACTTTTTAACATAGCTACTAGAAAATTTCTAATTAAATATTGGCATGCATTCTATTTATGTTGGCTAGTGCTACCCATACTCTTGCCTTATGGTAAAAAGACTGATACCTTTTTTTAAGAGTTTGAACTGATTACACCTTAAAGTCCTAGCCAAGAAATAAGGTTAACTATAAAACCAACTCAAACTACTTTTGTTAATGAACAGTTTCTCCATTGTGATACCATAGTTAAATGTTAATTCTGAGTTATATTATTGAAATGTTTGCACTGTATCTGCTTTTCCTTGCCATATTCTATCATACTGCTTATAATTTTAATCTGATTTTAAGTAAACATGTAGTTACCTTATGTTCTTTGTCTTCACAATTAAAATTCAGATTCCTTGGAATTTTGATTTTTCTCTCTGTAGCTCCATAGACTGTGACCCATAAATTAAAGGACAGTAGGGAAGTAGACATTTTTCCTCCTTCCTTTGCAGCTGCATTCAAATATACCAGGGCTAATAACAGGACTGAAAGGGACCGGATAGAACTTCTCCAAGATGCAGAACCTTTGGACTTTAATGCAGAAACATTCACTGATGATCCTCTTGAATCTGAATCAGGAAGGTAAGTTCTGGCTGTGACATTTTAGCTCTAGCATTCCTCTGCAATTTTAATAACTTATCAACAAGGTTGAAAACAAGCGAGTAAAGGCAAAAGTAAACAAGTTATAAGTAAAGGAAAATGTTCATTTTCTCTAATAATAAAAAATGTATTAAGTATTTTTTGATATTTTTTTAGACTTTCTAATGCTTTTATATTTTAAAAATTATTATCCAGTAGCGGTAAGTGAAATTGTTATCTACACACAATACTAGTGGTGTTATAAATAAAAAAGAATAATTGAAATATATAGCAAAGGATGGGGACAATATTTATATGCCTATTTCTGACTGTGCCATTTGTGAAATTTATTATATTTAGTAACTGCCGCATCGCAGTGTCTAGATGCCAGAACTATTCTAAGCTCTTTAACAAAAATATTGTAATTGCATGGTTGCAAATTCAATTGGATTTAAATCCAGAGAGGCTCAGTAAACTGCCTAGAGTCACACAATTTGTAAATGGCAAGTCAGGCATTCAAACCCCAGTAATCTGGCTGCAGAGTCTGTTCTTTCAACCATTGTGCATTGAGGACATAATTAAATAAAAGCAAAATATCATGTGCATGAAAATGTTTACCATAGTATTGCCTATATGCAGTAAAAACCTAGGTTATATTTATATGCAACAATTGAGAGTGGTTATTAAATTGATTAATCTCCCAGATGTGTCTTACATCCCCGCCCCTTCTTTTTATATCTGTCACTCTGTCATGCATATATTCTAGGCTCTAAAACTGTTGGTGGTTGATTTATAATTAAGTCCTTTGGATAATGTAATTGGAGGGTAAGTTTCTGCTTTCAGCTACTGACTAGATTTTACAGTGCTTACAAATTATGTGGCCACTTCCTTTTAATGTATTCTTGTTTTTGTCTCTTCCTTTATTATTTTTGACCCTTCAGATTGTTTCTTTATGTTCACCTTTTAGGTATCAGCCTGGTGGACGATATCTCTCAATGTCTCGCAGTGACATATTTAATGATGTTTGAAGTCTGAAAAAGTTTGTGGGGCCATTAACCAAGGTCAACACATCAGATCGGTCTTGATGAACATCTGTGTACCCTAGAATTTCCTCTATACGCTCAGTAAAAAGTGTCAAGATAACAAAAAAAGCACTGAGAACTAATTATATCTTAGGAATAATATTTTAAGGTTCACTGAATACAGTATCATCTTTTCCAACAAGATTTATTACATATCATTTCCTAAGTATCTGCCTTAGAAGTACAGTTACAGTGGAAGAATTGTTTAAAAGATCAACATATGTTAAGAACATGCAGTTCAGTTTGTTTCAGATTAATTTTTTTTTCAGGAGAGTTATTTTAAAGATTCAAGAAAGCCATAAGTCATACTAAATAATATTATACAGTTTTATTGTTACCTTTTTGTTATTTCTAAAAACTATATTCAACTTGTATTTCCCAAAGAAATGTGAGTGGAGACCTTAAATAATAACTGTTTTTGTAAAACTCGTGTCTTAAAAACAAGGCTTACTTACTAGACATAACTGAATGTTAAAAGTACTTTTTCAAATCTGTTTGCAAATTAGTGGGGGATTTTTGCATGTATAAGATTAAGATTATACTTCGACTGATAAGTGTTTGCGTATTTAGCATGTATACTGTAATCAGGTGATATAGGATTCCTTCAGTCTTTGTAGTAACTCGATTTTTTTATGCTTCTGGTATTGCTTTATAAAAAGTTTTCAAATCAGAAAGCTATGTTCACATTTATCATTTAATATATTGATTTAAATCTTGCCATTCAAGGATAAATTCTAGGCATTAATGGAAAATAGTTTTTCTTTTTTAGTAAAAAGTCCAACAAAATTCTTTAATATTTAAATGTACCTGTTTATACTTTTTGAGAAAAAATTTGGCTATTCAAAGGTAAAAAGTGAATCCATTTACTGTTATTACTGATACTTAATTTGTGGTTTATATAAAACCAAACTATATTAGAATGGAAATGTGTAATAACTTGTTGGTTATACATTCTTATTAGATTATTTTTTAACCTTTGTGTTTAAGCTAAATTTATATATTATATTTTAAAGCACTAGTGTTTTATTGCAAAGTGAACATGTTTGATTACAGCATGCTTGCAGAGAGTTTTTTATGTTCCTAGAATATTTGCAACTCTTACTGAATCCATGCTACATTAGGTGACCATACTTCAGCTTGCTTAATACAGTCTCAGTGTAACACCTAGTATTCTGTTTATTACTAGTGCTCAGTTTCACCCTCAAGTATCCCAGTTTGAAAATGAATTATATGGCTCCCCTAACTTGAGGTTAATCTTTCTCCAAGACATAAATTTAAACTTTTTACTTTTCTATTTAATAAATATTATGTGCGTTTTTAAAAAAGCATAGCTCTATACAGATATTGAAAGGAATAGAGCATAATTCTCATCTGAAAATTTTGATCTTTGAGTTTTTATGATCTTTGAGATTACATCCTTTTAAAAATAATTATCAGTGGATAGACTTACTCTGAATTGAAGGCCATATAGACAACACATGAGGACACATACATACAGTCTTTTAATGTGAAGTGTGGTCAGAGAGCAATATGCCAGGAGCAGAGATAATTTGATGCTGAGTTTGTAATTTCATGATTGACTCATTGAATATCTTGGGCAAATCATGTAGCTTTTCGGTGCTTCAAGAGCTTCATTCTGCACCTTCATTTGCAGAATGAAGATACTTGCTATTTACCTGCTGATCTACCTTACAGAGCTATCAAAAGGAAGTCGAGTTGGTGTTTATGTACTGCAGTTTAGAATTGTGCTGTTTTTCCTAGTGATACTTGAAAATATTAGATGGGGGAAATGATCATCCCAGAAAGGGGTCTAGTTTCTTGTTATTACAGAAAAGTTTACAAGTCCCTAAAGCCAAAATGCTTTTCGGACTAATTCATCAAAAGTCCTGTGAAAGTAGTTTTGTTTTATTTAGTCTTTGGGTTTACTTTGGAATCAATTCTTAAGTATAATGTGATTTCTCATCAGGTTTTGTCATGAAATTCAGATGCTGTTATTGAAATAGAAGCAGAAAAGGAAAAGAAATTAACCAATTCCTTTTATAACTTTTATAATGCCCTAAGATAATTGATAGGAATGTATAAAGTAATGTTACCACTTTCCTTAAGTATTAAATTTTTTATGTTTATAATAATTGAAGTATATACATGCATATACTTCACAAACAGTATAGATTCCTCTATGACTTTAACGTTATATTTAAAATAACGTTTTGTTGTTTTAGTGATTCAGATTATTCAGCTTTTTAAGCAGAATTTGTCTTACAGAATATTACATATTACCATGTAAAAGTGTTATTTTATTGGATAAATTTGAATTCAGAAGGCAATGACTTGACCCCTGAAGACTGAGTTTATTGCTGGGGAACCAAGTTAATATTTGTTAAGCCACCTTGTGTAAAAAAAAAACTGTAGTGGGTACAAATTTTCTGTTTTGAGAAGCTTATTAAAATATAATGACATCTACTGTAAAATAGTACTACTAAATTCATGTACTTTACATGCAAAGTAAATTTCTTTCTTTCTTTTTTTTTTTTTTTTTTGAGATGGAGTCTCCCTCTGTCACCAGGCTAGAGTGCAGTAGTGTGATCTCAGCTCAATCTCTGCCTCTCGGTTTCAAGTAATTCTCCTGCCTCAGCCTCCCAAGTAGTTGGGACTACTGGCATACACCACCACACCCAGCTAATTTTTGTATTTTTAGTAGAGATGGGGTTTCACCATGTTGTCTAGGATGGTCTCAATCTCTTGACCTCAGGCAATCCGCCCACCTTGGCTTCCCAAAGTACTGGGATTACAGGTGTGAGCCACCATGCCCAGCTGGAAAGTACATTTCTTAAAGAATTATTTTCAGTAATTTTTGATGACTTTATTACTCGATAATAAATATCTGTTTAAAAATTTTCAAATTATTTTGTAAATAGTTGTTAGGTAAGAATTTCAGTAAGCCAATAATTCAGAATAACTATTGCAGAAAATAAGAATAATCTATGATTTCATGAATCATCTCTAAATTACTAATTAGCTTCATTTACAACATAAATAACTTGTTATCAATAGAGCATTTTTGCAAAAAAACAAAAGAAAGTATAAGTTTAAATTATTAAAATTTGCTCTCTTACCAAATGAATACAAAGGCTTTTGAATAATCTCATTGCATCAGAGGCCCTCATTTTACAAAAATGGTAAGAACAAAATCAAAACATTCAAGAGTTTTCCCTTTATAAAGAATAGATCAGAAAATTTGACAATCCAGACATTCAAAAAAAGATTCTGCCAGTTGTTTTTTTTTTTTTTTTTTGATTACTATTTGATTAGATGATCAGTTCTGAAATTTAAGCTGGATGTATGCCCAAAGTAAATTAGCATAGGAAAATCAATGTGTGTTTTTTTTGTTTTGTTTTGTTTTTTATTGAGACGGAGTTTCGCTCTTGTTACCCAGGCTGGAGTGCAATGGCGCGATCTCGGCTCACCGCAACCTCCGCCTCCTGGGTTCAAGCAATTCTCCTGCCTCAGCCTCCTGAGTAGCTGGGATTATAGGCGCGCACCACCATGCCCAGCTGATTTTTTGTATTTTTAGTAGAGAAGGGGTTTCACCATGTTGACCAGGATAGTCTCGATCTCTTGACCTCGTGATCCACCTGCCTCGGCCTCCCAAAGTGCTGGGATTACAGGTGTGAGTCACCGCGCCCAGCCCGTGTGTGTGTTTTTAAAAGTATATTTTAGCATATTAATGGAGAAGTTTAGTTTATGTTCAGTAACCTCATTTTTATAGCATTAATAGGCTTAGGGAACGTTCTTGATGATGTACTGATTACTATATTAGAGAAAAAATAAACTCTCCATATTGCAATTCACACTGTTTAGTAGGGTGAGTTTTGTGCTTATGATTTGAGTGGGTTATGCCTAAAAATTGTAAATGTATTTGCACTAAGTGACAAAATATGTCCCTGAAAAATCTTAGCATACTTGAATCTCCAAATGTAATAGATCTGTGTTAAATTCTGAATGTTAAGAAGTAAATGGATTTAGGGTTTTGTCATCTTTTCTTATGTCCTCTCTCATTCCTTTATACCTTTTTCCTTTCTGAGGCCTATGTTTATAGATGACTTGTGCTGAAAGATTTTCCTTCTGTTTTGTGTAGGTAGTTGTTTTTGATGAGTGGTGTACTAAGAAAAATTTCTTTTAGGTCACTAAAAGAAATGTCCTTCTTAGTGACCTAAAAGAAATTATTTTCAGTGTAGTATTTTTACAGAAAATAGATTTCAAAACATTTTAAGATTTATTTAGATTCTTGAGACATGTTTTTATGAAGAGGAATTAATAAATGATATACATCATCAAAACTTTTATTAGGAAAGTTGAAACAATATAAGAAGGTTACAGAAGGCCTTCTAAAATATGAATTCCCCTCTATATGAGGTACTTCTTTCCAACTCAGTGACTTTTTACCCAGAGACTCGGAAGACCAGGCAATGTTTTCCCCTTTCCCAATTCCTAGAGGCCAGGGCCTAGGAGCTATTTCCCCCAGCAGGGCAGGCTGTAGTCCTGCTCTCTCTTCCTTCCCACTGCAGCAGGAACATGTCTTCACCTCTGATTCCTTCCATACCCAGATTGATTTAACTAAAATTTTATTTCTGTTTTCAAAAGATTTGTCCATTGAGGTCAATTGAGGACTCATTGTAATTTTTAAAATCTGTTAATAAAACAAGAATATTGGCATGTTCCTCTTCTCATCAATATCCTAAAAGACATTTGTTTTTTACATACTCCTTGGGAAAAATTAAAATTCTTGGTCTCAAATCATTTTGTGAAAGAATTTTACTGTACTTAGTTCAAAAGAATAGAAAGAATGGTTTACTATGGCAGACATATGTAGGGTAAAATCATAATTTATTTAAACTGACTGTATAACACCATTTAGAGTTGATACTGACATAAATGTTATTAGCCTACTCATTTGGAACTGTATTTCTCAACAATGCTGGCAAGCATCTTCCCTATTTAGGATACCAAGTTGTAGGGGAGAGACTGTATTTATTTTTTAAAAGCAATCCAATGGATTTGTTTTTGTTCATATTTTAAAAACAACTTGAAGGATTTTTCTTATTTTAGAAGGTAGAAAATATGTGGTTCTGTGTTTTAAATTACTATAATCTAATATGTATTTATAAATTATAACATGGAATAATACAAGAGTTCTAATACTGATGTTCTCACTTTCTGATATTTAATTTTTATAAATTTTTTTTATAAGTAACTAATTGTAGCATTGCTTTTAAATAGTTTTAAAATCTTCTTCAAATAAGTTCTGCCCAGACCTATTTCCTTAGGATTATATTCTAAAGTTCAGTAGTCCAGAATGAGCTTAAAATACTCCTATTTCCCTTGATTTTTATGTATACCAATATTCAAGCAAATTATTAATATATCAAAAACCTAATTTCTGCGTTGCATTAATAAAATACTTGTTGTTTTGCCTTTATCTAATTCAGTTGATTAGGTGAAATGAAAAAGTAATCTTTTCAAATGTGCATATGATCATAATTTTTCAAAATGTTACTGTAGTCATTCTTGGTGCATGATGCCAAATTTACCTTTAGTCAGCCATTGCTACCTGATATGTAATGACAAATGTTTTATTATCTGATCATTGAGTTGTAGATTTAACTATTTTTTTCTCTGTTGATTCTCACTGCGTTTTCAAATATGTATTTGGAAAAAGCTGCAAAGTGCTACCTATAAGCAAATTAGTAACTTTAGCCTTATTTATGCATAGTGTTCTCTCAGTTTGGTTTTGATAAATTCATTGACTTGCAGTTTCTTTTTAGTATTTTAATTTATTGTGATGTAATGAATTTTTGAAATGTTCGATTAGCTGTTAAAATATATGAAAGTATGTAGCTTTGCATGAAATAAACTACATTTCTGCAAGTTAATAAGAATTTTGCTGATTATATATTTTACTTCATTTGAGGTTAAGGTCTTTTTTTATTGCATTTTAGGTTTTGGGGTGCAGTGAAGAACATGCAAGATTATTGCATAGGTACACACATGGCAGTGTGATTTGCTGCCTTCCTCCCCATCACCTATATCTGGCATTTCTCCCCATGCTATCTCTCCCCAACTCCCCACCCCTTGCTGTCCCTTTCCTATTTCCCCTCAACAGACCCCAGTGTGTGATGCTCCCCTTCCTGTGTCCATGTGTTCTCATTGTTCAACACCCACCTATAAGTGAGAACATGTGGTATTTGAGTTTGCTGAGAATGATGGCTTCCAGGTTCATCCATGTCCCTACAAAGGACACAAACTCATTTTTTTTATGGCTGCATAGTATTCCATGGTGTATATGTGCCACATTTTCCCTGTCCAGTCTATCATCAATGGGCATTTGGGTTGGTTCTAGGTCTTTGCTATTGTAAACAGTGCTGCAATGAACATTTGTGTGCAAGGTCTTTTAAGTAGATTCAAGCATTCTTTGTTCCTTACAAATTTATTAGCAAGTATCACAAAATAAATGTTTTAAAATAAATACGTGTACTTTAGTTTCCACATTAATTTTTCTTAAATTTAAAAGTAATTATGTATTGAAACATACTGTACCTCATAAATACAGATACTTATGTATCAATTTGAAACTAAATATTTTAAATATTTTTAAAAAGAGAACCCCCTCACTACAAGATATTTAAAGAAAATTAGATCAGAAACCAACGAAATGAAAATGGGAGAACAGTGGAGAAAACAAAACCAAAACCTGGGATTTAAAAAAGATCAATAAATTTGATGAAATTTTAACCAGGCTAACCAAGAAGACAGAGTAGGCTACTTTCCTGTGTACCAAAAATGAACCATTGGAATTTAAAATTAAAAACAACACCATTTGCATTAGTCTTAGCTAATACAATAAGAGAAGAAAGGGAAATAAAAAGTGTACAGATGCTTTTTTACTCACAGATGACATAATTGTCTACGTAGAAAGTCCAAAAATAGAGACAAAATAACTCTTAGAACAATAAACCATTATAGCAAGGTTACAAGAAACAAGATTAATATACAAAAGTTAATCACTTCCTATGTAGCAGCAATGGACAAGTGGAATTTGAAATTAAAATCACAATAACAACCATATTGTCATCCCCAAAAATAAAATACTTAGGTATAAATCTAATGAAACTTCTATGGGATCTGTATAATGGAAACTAACCAAAGAAGTAAATAAATGGAGAAATAGTCCATGTTTATGGATAGGAAGATGCAGTATTATCAATATGTCAGTTCTTCCAAAATTGATCTATAGATTCAATGCAAGTTATTTTGTGGATATTGACAGGCTGATTCTGAAGTTTATATAGACAGGCAAAAGACCTAGGAGAGCCAACACAACATTGAAGAACAAAGTCAGGACTAACACTACTCAATTTTTAAGTCTTACTATAAATCTCCACTCCAGTAGTTAAGGCATTGTGGTATTGGTGAAGAATTAACAGATCAATGAACCAGAATAGAGAGCCCAGAAATAGACCCATATAAATGTAGTCCATTGATATTTGACAAAGAAACAAAGACAATTTAATGGAGATAGTCTTTTTAACAAATGGTCCTGGAACATCCACATTCAAAGAGATAAGGTAGATACTGAATAATTCAAAGCTGATCGTAGACATGAAAGTAAAACAAAACTACAAAACTTCTAGAAAATAAGAGAAAATGTAGATGATCTTGGGTTTGGCAATGAGTTTCTAGATACAGCACCAAAATCACAATCCATGGAAGAAAACTTGCAAGTTGGACTTTACTAAAATTAAAACTTCTGCTCCACAAAAGACCCTGTTAAAGGAATAAAAGCTAAAAAGCCAAGCCACAGACTGAGAAAAATATTTGCAAAATAGATACATCTTATAAAAGATTTATATCCAAGATATACAAAAGAACTCTTAAAACTCAAAAATAAACCCAATTAAAAAGTGGGCAAAGGATCTGAACAGACACCTTGCAAGATACATGGATGGCTAATGAGCATATGAAAAGATGCTTAAGGGAATATATGATAAGGTAATTGTGAATTAAAACAACAGTAATATACCACTTACTAGAATGGCTAAAATCCAAAACACTAAATAGCATCGAATGCTGGCAAGGGTGTGAAGCAACAGATACTGTCATTCATTGCAAGCCACTTTGCAAGACAGTTTAAGAGTTTCTTACAAAGCTAACATGTTCTTTCCATGCGATTCAGCAATCATGTTCATAGGTATTTACCCAAATGAATGGAAAACTTATGTCCACTCAGAAACCTACACACAAATGTTTATAGCAGTTATATTCATAATTGCCCCAGACTGGAAACAACCAAGATGTCCTTCAGCAGATGAATAAATAAACAAACTGTTGTACATCCATAAAATGGAATAGTATTCAACCCAAAAAATGAACCATCAAACCATAAGAAGACAAGGAGGAATATTGAATACATATTACTAAGTGAAAGAAGCCAGTCTGAAAAGTATATACACTGTGTGATTCCAACTATATGACATTCTGAAAAAGGCAAAACAATGGAAGCAGTAAAAACATCAGAGTTCCAGTGTTGGTAGGGTGGAAGTGAAAGGATAAATAGGTGGAGCTCGAGATATTTAGGGCAGTGAAATTATTTTCTATGATACTGTAATGGTAGATGTGTGATGTTACACATTTGGTAAAACCCATAAAATTGTCCAAAGCATGAACCCAAATGTAGATTGTGTGCTTTAGTTAACATATCAATATTGGCTTATCAAAGGCAACAGATATACTAACGCAAGATGTTAATTAACAGGGAAACAGGTGGGGGTTTGCCGCACTTTCTGCTCCATTTTTTTGTAAACCTAAAACTGCTCTAACAAATAAAGTCTCAGCCAGGTGCTTACATGAGATTACAAGCTCATGCTTATAATCTCAGCACTTTGGGAGACTGGGGTGGGTGGATCACTTGAGCTCAGGAGTTCCAGACAAGTCTGGGAAACACAGTAAGACCCCCATTGCTACAAAAAAAAAAAAAAAAATTACTCAGGCATGGTGGTGACCATCTGTAGTCCCAGCTACTGGGGAGGCTGAGTTGGGAGAATGGCTTGAAACCTGGAGGCAGAGGTTACTATGAGCAAAGATCCCACCTCTGCACTTCAGCTTGGATGACAGAGCAGGACTGTTTCTCAAAATTAAAGAGAATAACCATTTTTAAATCTCTTAACTTTGAGCCGGGTGAAGTGACTCACGCCTGTAATATCAGCACTTTGAGAGGTTGAGGTGGGTGGATTGCCTAAGGAGTTTGAGACCAGATTTACTTTCAAGCTACCTATTATGAAGGCAGTATGATATTAGGATAAGCTATCAAGGTCAATCAATGAAATAGGACAGTAGTATTCAGAAATAACCCCACAATAAACGATCTTTATTTACGTATTTATTTATTTATTTTGAGATGGAATCTGGCTCTGTAGCCCAGGCTGGAGTGCAGTGGTGCGATCTTGGCTCACTGCAACCTCTGCTGCTTGGGTCCCAGTTCAAGCAATTCTCCTACCTCAGCCTCCCAAGTATCTGGGATTACACCATGCCCAGCTAATTTTTGTATATTTTAGTAGAGATGGGGTTTCACCATGTTGGCCAGTCTGGTCTTGAACTCCTGACCTCGTGATCCTCCCGCCTGGGCCTCCCAAAGTGCTGGGATTACGATCATTTGTTTTACGACCAAAACCCCAATGCAATTCAACGTGAAAATAAAAGTTTAAAAATTTTTCCCAATAAATGTTGCTGAAGCAATTATATATTCATGTGGAAAGAATAGCCAGCACTATATACAGAAAATTTGAAATGAATCATAGAACTAAGTATAATAGATAATAAAGAGTTTTGAAAAAGCAAGTGATACATTTTTGAACTCAGAATATGCAAGGTATTTTGTATTGGTCAGTATAAAAAGCACTAATCTAAAAATAATAAATACCTTAGAATTATGATTAGAAAATTCCATTTATCAAAAGATACCATTAAGCAAATAAAGGACCAGCCATATTAGGAGAAAACAATGCCCAATGTATATTGGACAAAGGACTCTGATCCAGAATATATATAAATTCCTACAAAAAAAATAAGACAGGCCGGTGTGGTGGCTCACACCTGTAATCCCAGCACTTTGGGAGGCTGAGGCAGGCGGATCACCTGAGGTCGGGAGTTCGAGACCAGCCTGCCCAACATGGCGAAAACCTGTCTCTACTTAAAAAAAATACAAAAATTAGCCAGGCGTGGTGGTGGGTGCCTGTAATCCCAGCTACTCAGGAGGCTGAGGCAGGAGGATTGCTTGAACCCGGGAGGCAGAGGTTGCAGTGAGCCAAGATCACACCACTGCACTCCAGCCTGGGCAACAGAGTGAGACTCTGTCTCAAAAAAAAAAAAAAAAAAAAAAAAAAAAAAGACAAAAAATCCCACATAATTTGAAAAATGAACGAAATGCTTTATTAGGCATTTCATAAACAAGGCTACTCAAATTGGCAATAATATATTTCAGAAGTATGGAACATCATTAGTAATCAGCAAGTTAAAACAAGGAGATATTAATAACTAACACTAAAAAGATTGACAATTCCAGAGTTGGCAAGGTTGTGGGGCAAGCTGAACTCTCATATATTGCCGGTGGTTGTGGAAACTGGTACAAGCCTTAGAATAACTCTTTAGTAATATCTAAGAAAGCTTAATCTATCCTACCTTGTGATCAAGGAATTCCACTTCTAGATTTATACTAAGATAAATGACTGCAGATTTCCAACAAAAGGAATGCATAAGAATGTTCATTGTAGCTTTATTTATAATGCTAAGAATTGGTAACAACTAGATTCTCATTAACAATAGAATGGGATGAAGGGTGGGGTTCAACTTCCCCTCCCTACATAGAGCAGCCGTGCCC